GGCTGAGCCCTTTGGATCGGGCGGTAGCTTACGCCACCTAGCCATTTTGTTTTACCATTTAAGCTTAGAATATTTAAATGTGAAATCTATATTCACTCCGCAGTGCAAAGAAAGTGAGGCTATGAAACCCCCTTGCCATCAGTGAATAAGAAAATACCTAGTTTTCTCTCGATTTCTGCCACCATTCACTTAATCTTTGCTTGGTAATCTCTACAGTCTTGAAATCCACTCTCCCTTCGCTGTCTCTAAAACCCAATGACTTTATTAAATCTATGTTGTCTTCGGTAGGCATAGGGTGAAGCCCTTTGCAGTAGAGTATCAAGTGCTCAGCCGTCTCGTCCTCCTCTCCACAAGCAATGCACACTGTATCCATTTCCTGGTACTTCACTCTGTATGTTCTGGTTCGCAGAACACCCGTTCTTGCCTCAAACAGCAATGAGCTTCCCCTAGAATTGTCATAAATGCTTTCTTTGGCAATAACTCTTTTGTTTAATCTATAGCTTTCCAGAGCAGTCTTTGTCTGCATTCCCTCTAGCCACCGATCCCTTTCTGTGGCCTTAACTTTCTTCTTAACTGAGACTTGCTCTTCCGTATCTTCGCTATAGCCCAAAAACTTTCCTCTTAATTTCCTAGTGCGCTGTCTCCACTTTGTGTCTACACTCCTCATGTATAAATAGCTGAAAACCTTTCGTGCCCATTGCTCCCCATCCATTAGCCTCAACCTATCCTCAAATTCTACCTTGCTCACCGCTTCCCTGCTCTCAAATGATGCCCATCCCATGTCTCCTTGTACTCCCTGGTTTGGCGTTTTGCAATGCGCCCCCAAAGCCAGTCTACCTACTCCGCGCTGTTTTATTTCTAGTTTCGCATGCACTTCGGATTTCATGCATAGCACTGCGTTTCCAAATGTCAAGCCAGGCACCATGACCCCTTTCCAAATCTCTCTCACCACCTCATACCTGTTGTAATTCCAAAGTGCTCTATTTTTCATTACAGCTGCATTTCTGTTGCCCTTACCTATTATATACTTTTCATGGTCTCTGAGATATTCTGCACCATCACATATCCATACTCCTAGATACTTGTATTTACTAGCTCTCTCAACTGTAATATTCTGTATCTTCAGCCTCTCAACTTCATCCTCGTTAAAAATCATGACTGCCGATTTTTCGCTACTGAATTCTAAACCTAATTCCTCTCCTTCCCTACCACAGATGCTCATTAATTCCTGCAACTCTGTCCTGTTGTTAGCCATTAGTACAATATCATCCGCATACATCAATCCCGGTAAGGATTGCTGAATTTTTTGGCCTAGCTTACTGTAAGAAAGGTTGAACCCAAGCCCACTCTTCTCTAGTCTATCCTCCAATCCTCTCAGATACAACATAAACAGCAAAGGCGACAACGGGCACCCCTGCCTAAGGCCTCGTCTTATCTCTATTTTCCCTGTCGCCTTTCCTTCCCATGTTATAATCACCTTGTTATCTTTGTAAATGTTCCTTAATAGTGCTGTTAGTCCTTCATCTAGGTTTAAGTTCTCCATTATGTCCCACAGGTTTCTTTGGTTCACATTGTCATAGGCACCCTTGATATCCAGAAATGCCAGCCAGAGCTGTCTGTTTTCTTTTTGCGCTATTTCTATACACTGTGTCCTAAAGCTCGCAGCCTAAAGCTCGCAGCGCCACCTGGTGGTGGCGGAGAGCCGTGTCTCCCCACGTGAAGAGCCTTACTTACATCGCGGCACAGGGTATGGGGTAGACTGAATCACCGAGGGAAAGGTCAGCGGTTCGATACCCACCAAGGGAGAGAGTCTCTCGTAAAGACAATAGGTTCTGCTATCATATTTTCGTTACAATGTCTTGTGATGCTCTAGCGTTAGAAACCTACCCTAAAATACACTCTGCATTGAAAAAGTAGATGCTAGTAAGAGCTAAAAATAAATGTTCCATCGGCAAAAGTGTCCTCGCAGCTAATTGAAAGAAGCAGACCGCCACTTTTTCTAGCGTCACTGCTAAGAGCTCCTAGGCCACCGTGGCCCATTCATGGTTACCCTAAGCAGCAGTACCACTGCCCATATATCGTACAGAAGACAGTAGAGAGTTTTAGTAGATCGTTCCGATACCTCCGATAGCCCCGATAACGATACTATGCATGCTCAAGGGAGGCGGTGGCGGAGTATCGGGTATCGTTATCGGAGTCATGGGAACGATCTACTAAAACTCTCTATTGTGTTTGCTGCAGGCATGATGACAGAATCATGTCCGAAACATGTTCGCCTCATGCAGGCTTCAAACGTGTCTGAAGATAGTTTTTGTGTAACCAATAGTATGACTGTTGTGCAAGCAAAAAACATGCCTCGAACTGTCTGCAGACTGTACTTTCTATGACAGCAGTGTGACCGAGGCTTTAAGCAGCTAAAATGCTAGCTACCGACGCTTCCTATTTTCCCTACGCTTTTACCACCTCAAATTGCATTTCAGAAAAAACAAACCGTCTTTATCGCAGACCCATCCATTCTTTACAACAGCCATCTTACCCATTACCGACCCCAACTATTCGACAAGATACCGTAAAATCCAATACGAACGCTTTCCCACCATTCCCGTCGGATATCACACAATGTCCGACTGGAGTCACATTAACCGAGCGATCTGTGGTACCGATTCGTGTGACGAGCGAGTTCGTAGCGGGCTCCCACGTGTTTGTCGCACTGTGACATGCAAATATGCTGCGTCCACAATTTACAGTATCAATTTTCTCACCAATCTGGCCTAACTATAATGCAATCGAAGAGGTTCAACATCGTGCTGCTCACTTTATTTTTTCCAACTACTTCCGCTTTTCAAGTGTTACTGCAACGAAATTGCAACAGACCCTTCCGGATCTTTCCTCGCGTCATAAAATTCCCCGGCTTTGCCTTCTTCATAAAGTTTACTATTCTGCACCTTTAAAAGGGTCCCTTCTTAGCCCTCCCAGTTATATATCAGCAAGACTCGACCAGTCATGCAAGATTTCCCGGCCCAAGACTGCCTCTACAGCATTCCAACATTCTCTCCTATCTGCTACCATTGTGGACTGGAATGGCCCTCTCGACAGCACCATCACCGTCACTGATAACAACCAGTTTTGCCTCATGCTAACCCCTCCCTCCCAGCTGTAATGTCCCTCAAGGCCCCTGGGGGTATTTGTAAATAAAGAAATAAATGTGGGTGGCCCGATGTTTATCGTAAATATGTTTTTCATTAACTTTTGCTGTTTCATCCCTAAAGATTGCCCCACACCATATCTTTCACCGTGTATCTCGTTATTTTGGGTGGGAGTTCTTTCAGGATTCTACGGTAGTTCCCATACGCATTCGGTGTGGGATGACCAGGCATCCCCTTTTGGCCAGGACGGTCCTGTTTTAGGAGGAACATTTCTGCCCTCCCATCATTTTACCTCAATGAAGCCTCATGCCCTATTTTTGTGGGAATGTGCATAGCTACTGTTACATATGCAATTTTTCTAAAAACAAACTTAATTGAAAAATGTTACCTCTCATAGAGCACACGTACGAGCTCTTTCTTTGGCTGCATCTGCCAATATGCCTTGATTGCTCAGATGCGTATAGAGGAGATATTTCTCTATATTAATGAATTTGGCATGATTCAGCTGGAAAGGTTTTGTTCTTTATTATTTAAAATGGGGAAAAAAGGAACTAATGTTTTCGACGAGGAACTACAGAAAAATAAGCTTTTTTTTGCTGAACTGAGAACTAGCAGCGCTTTTCCTACTGCCTTGCTACGTCCCTCCCTCCCCCCCTCCCCCCCCCCCTGCACACCTCTTGGTGTCCCGTTTTTCACTGAGGATTGTGGTCACCCTAATGTGTCGTTACTTTTGCTTCCTTCATTTTTGCAGTTTCTACAGTGTTTCTAAAAAACTTTTAGCACAATAAATGCATCATTTAAAGACACCTTTGTGCAAAGTCTGATCGTGTTGCATTCACTGGCTTATTTGTATGGCATTTTTTAAGACCAAGTAGTGCTCCAAAATTCTTTACAGCGTCAAAGCTTTTCCTATCATTTCACTTCCTTCCTCCCCCACGTATTGCCCCAACGAGCCCTAAAAAAATGAATCAACTAAAGAGTGACCAGACGAACCTCGCTGGCACGTGTTAAGCCACGACGGAACTGGCAAACAAAGAAGGGGGCAGTCAAGGTATGGAGCTTGTGCAACCTGCCTTGTTCTTCTAGGCTCTTATTTAAAAAAAAAATATATGTATATATTCCCAGTCCAGTTCACTTTCTTCTGAGTCTTTTTCCCTCTTATCTTTCCGGAGCTAAACTTGGAGGTGCCTTGATCTGCTAAGGTCTCTGGCCCCGGTGGCAATCGACCGGTTCAACGATGTTTCGCCAACAGATAGTTTTGTTTACACTACGATGTTTCATCGACAGTTCGTTTTATCAAGAGGTGCCTGGATTCTTGTCGTCGATGCACCTTGCAACGTTTTGTGAGAGCTTCTTGCCTCGCACATCGCCTCGGCCAATGGCGTCCTGATGGTGGCCTAGCTTACCGAACCCTCGGCAGTTCCGACGCTTGCCGCTAGATCGCGCCCAAGATTATTGTCCAATTTCCCCGAGCAAAGCCGAGCGTGTGGCCACAAAATGAGCTTCTATAAAACGGTGTTGACGGAAAATGTGTCCGTGGAAAGTTGCCCACAAAACAAGCCACCCTCAGTGTTTACGACAGAATCTCGCAGCAGCTATACGACACTCCATGCCCGATGCCGAGAGAAATCATTAGGTTTGTTCGATGTACCTGCACCTCCTGCACCAGCTGCACGCGGTGCACAACGCCACATTCAATTTACCAGTATAGCCAGGAGGCACACTGCCCTGCACTTTTCTGCAGTGGGCAATACTTTTCCGCACCGGTGTGGTCTGGTGCAGGTAAGTCGAACAAACCCACTGCACGTGACGTGCCATACACTCTGTGGGAAGACGGGGGAGAGCGACCCTCACCTGCACTGGTGGGTGCCGAGTACACCAGGCTGCGCCCCGAGTGCAGCACTGTCAGGAGGCACTCCCGCTGCCAGGGGAACATGCGACACAGTCCCCGCCGCTCGTACGCCGCCACCATGTCCGCCGGGAGGCCCCAGCCAGACAGGAGCAGCCCGTCCCCTGCAAGACGGCCCCCACAGATGAGACCTAACTCCTGGAGACACTCCATAAGCTACGCTTAGAGTGGCAACACTTCATTCCCAGAATCTTGTGGGTGCCTCCATTTTGCTGCCTGGTGCAACAAAATGGTGGCCATCACCATTTTTTAAGGGCACCGTCGCAAATGACAAACATTGTCTACCCCGGTCTTTGCGCATATTTCGCCTTCATCAACGATTCTTTTCTGAACATCGGTAGTATGGGGCAGAGAAAGCAATAAAAATCGCTACAACGGCAAGATAACGTCCATCTGTTGGATTTTCCGAGCGATCTGGCTAGCTGACTCCTAACATTAGCGGCGCGTCTCTAGTGCTTCAATTTGTCCCTAGAGAAAACTTTCGCATAGACTGACGAAAAGATTCCAGAGCAGGTAGCCTAAGGACCATGGCACGATTCCAAAGTGAGACTATCCTAGCTTCAAATATGGTGTCAAGAAAGCTCAGGCAACGTCATTTTGGTACCTTCCAGACTGAATTAACATTTCTGGAGGACAGAAAAGTGTTTCCAGCAATCTCAGATCAAGCTTCAGATAGCTGGTAAAAATAATTTTAGGCACCACGATGGCTGAAGTGTGGTTACGCTGAACTTGGAAGTGAGGTTACACCTCCCAGCTCAGCGTAACCACACTTCAGCCATCGTGGTGCCTAAAATTACTTTTACCAGCTCAGGTTCGGAAGTCAGGTTACACCTCACTTCCGAACTTGCTAAACATATGGGAGAGTGCCAACCTGTCTTCTCCTTTATGTTCCCCTATTTCGTGTAAGGAAAAGAAAGTATTGCTCTAGTAAGTCAAACAAACGTGCGAGATTTTGTTTGCATTCTCGATGGCACATTATCATTCTTATGTCCTTTTACACATTTTCCAAAAAACAAAACAAAAAATGAGCAGAGTTAGAATCGGGCGGCCACTTTGCATCCTCGTTGTCTTAGATAAGACGAGCCCCAAAGACATGCTCGTCGTCTAACATAGGTGGATGTGCTCAACAACGAGCACAATTTTTAAATCGATATGAGTTTTGAATAATTGAGCAGCTCTACTAAATACTTGACCCCTCTGCAAGACTGGATGCTGAAACACAGTCTTGCAGACTGGGTATCGCCACTCGAGGTACACGGGTCCCAGTGCAAGGCGGTCCATGCTGGCAATTTATTTATTTCGTGCCTTTTTGCACCGGTTCGCCCAGGTGTGCGCCAACTTGCACCAGTTCACACCGGTTCGCGCCAGTATCCCCAAGCAAACGCACCTTCGGGCTGTCCAGCGCTGTTGCACGGGGCCACATGTCTGCTGGGCACTGCCACCCCATTCCTAGAACAAAAGAAAAGAACCCACAAATCCTATGTGCAATTTTATTTATTAATGCATTAGCGTTAGTACCGACATGATAAAGAAAAGCTGATGGCATCTGTCTGTGGACAAAACAGTGGAAAGCGAAATGTGCTGTGTAGAGAGGAGGAGAGTAGTGAAGGACAAGGGCAAGAGGGAGGCGATGTCATGGGATGGAAGCAAGGGTGGGTACAGACCTTTCCAGAGGATGGGTAGGTCAAGTTGCCTCAGGGCATTTGCATTTCGTTTGTACCCGATAGTACAGATGGTTTACGCCTGCAAGGGTGAGCATTTTGTAGGCACAAATGTATGCGTGTTGACGGGAAGAAGTGACTGCATGATGGCAGTGGCGCCGTCGATGAAATATAATACAGCACCCCCAATGCTCCGGAAAAGCATTCGGTGCACATACACCAAACCATACAAACACACAAGTTTTCAGAATTTGGGTCTCCCCCACTGAGGTCCCTCCCCAACCCACCAAACAAACTTCAAAACTTCTATGCAAATAATGAACCAAATAGCTCTATTCACCATTTTGTTCCAGAAACATTGGGGCTAAAATGAAAAGCAACAATCGGCTGCCCACCTCGGCCTGCCTTGTAGGCTCGAATGCAAGGCTCGTGCCCCGCCCGGGCCCTTTGTGATTGTAACAGTGAAGCCCGAGCCCGGCACCTGCCCATGGCCTGGCTTGTACCCGTGCAGACATCTACAACACATATCTTGCCGCGTAACTTTGGAAGTCCCAAATGTCCTCTCGGCAAGGTGGGGTCGATTGTGTTAGTGAGGAAGGCAGGCTTCGCCAAATTGAGGCTGGTAGTGGTAAGCACGACTCGTGGAGCAAGTACAGGTTGGAGAACACCAGTTCGTAGGTTGAGAAGAGGACGAGCAGGAATGTCGAAGGAGGGCTGCATAAGGTGGCGGAACAGCCGGACTTAGGCCAGCTGTCTCCTATGATGCAGACCGTGCCATCCCGTAGCCTAGTAGAGAGCAGCTTGGGTGGCGCTCCCGTAGGACACCTTTGCGGCAGGATTGGTACGGCAGACGAATATGTAGACGGCCCGACGTTGAACAGCTTTCAGGCTCACTTGCAGTGAGGACAGGTGAGGTACCAAACCGTAAAGCAGTATTCGAGAATCGAAAGGACCAGACAGTGTATAAGTGGCGAAAAGCTGAGACTCGTTATCCAGGTGACGCAGACAACGAATCCAAGGAGCTGACAAGCTCTCCGACAGTGGTTAGCGTATGTACTCATCAAAATCAAGCTGACTGTCTACACACATACACCAGAATGTGCATATTAGGGACCCGTTAAAGAGGGACACCACCAAGGAAGAGACTGTGGGACGGATGAGACGCGAGTCAATACAAGGAAAAAGTCACGAAGCAGCATTTTGATTGATTGAAGGGCAGGAGGTTCTCCAAAGACCACCGGTCACAGTGGTCAAGGTCTGATTGAAGGAAGGTGTGTGAGGCGCAGGTGTTTTTATGGGTGTAGGAACTGATCATCACCGTAGAGGAAGGGTGTGGAGGAGAGGTAGGTGGTGAGGTCATTTTTGACTCATATGGAAAGGGTTTGTCCCAGGACACCGCCCTGGGGTGCTACACACCAGACGCCGCGGGGCAGGAATCCAATAACGGACCTGCAAGGTGGACGGACTGAAGGCGTGCAGTGACGAAGCTGGATCTTGGTGGCGTTGCAAGCACTAGAAGCTCGTGTTTCGGGGGAGAAAGACGCTCACTTTCTTGCGTTATCTGCGCTTGCATTTCAGCGTTATTATAAGAAGCTATGTTTTACGTACCGCTTGTTGAGAGCCGCCCTCGCCCTGGTCGTCGGTCCGGAGCGACGTTCCGCGCGTGAAGGAGAGGGTTCATCGTGCTTGCCAGCAGCGTGCCGCGCTTTCATCGAGTCCTTCGTCGTCGAACGCGGGTTCGGGAAGCGAGGACAGCACTAACTCGCGGAATCACCGTTCCACCAGTTACCTTAGCCGCCTTAGCACTTTTCAAATTCCCACTGTTCCCATCCCACCGCGCGAGACGAGGCGGCACGGCCAGCACGGGCGCGCGGGAAACACAAGCACTGGCTTTGAATTGGATTCGACTGGATTTGAGGTCTTTTTGGATCCTCACGCTTTTACGAGTAGGAACAGGCCGAACAGGCAAAGGCAGCGAAGGAGCGTTGACCGCTTCGAAGCTCAGTTTAGAAAAACGCCGTTTATCGAATAGGTTAAGCTATTTAAAAAAAGGCTTTCCTACTTCGCGCGTGTCAACCCACCCGCCCTCCCCGAGTGTAGCTCCACAGACTCTACAAAACGTGTTTTGTAAATTCAAGAATAAATCTAGAACAAAGTACACTAGTCGAAAATGCACCATAAATAAATACAGCCACGTTTGCAGCCATGGATGACAGGCGTAAAAGAAGTGTCATTACTAATTAGGCTACCGACTCTACCGACCCCGACCGAACGTGGACCCCGTGGACCGAACCTACCGGCTGTCGGAGCACGCAAGGCACGCGAGCCGCGATACCCGCGAGCACGCTCGTCGCTTGTCACGTGGTCAACTGTCATGGCAGCTCCTGGCATGGGGAGCGTGCGATTATGCCGACACTTTTTCGGATGCCGGTAGCCCCCATGTGGGCGTGGGACCAGAGAACGAGCCTACGGTCCGTCGCGGGCGAGCTGCCGGCGCGTCCATCCGTGGCCGAAACGAGTGAGTACCGCTGCGATCTCTCGCACTCCCGAGAGACGGGCTCACGGCCGCTGACATTGACCCCGTGTGTCTTGAGGGGTACGTCAGCATTCGCCCAACCAGGGTCTCCTTTTTTTTCGTTTGTATTTTGTAGGTTTTCTCGAGTTGGCCTCCTTTTCGCTCGGCTTGTCGTCGTCGTCGTCTTGAGCGCCGATCGAAGAACACGTTCGTACGCTTGATTAGGGAGACATTAGAGACGCTCGTAAGTAACATTTGGCGCTTTCGTTTTCGAGCTCGATGACTGAGGTGTCAGCAAAGCACCGGATGTCTTGACGTCTCATTCCTGAGGCCCCCTTAAGCCGTTTTTCTCTCTTTTTTTTTTAACGCCGTTAGATTGCGCCAGAGTTCCAAAGAGTCCAAGCGATCTTGTGCTCGAAGATGAACCGGGTGGAGTCGACCTACTGGCGGTGAAGGAATTCCTCTCAAAATGGTGAGTACAAAAAATTCCCAATTTTTTCTTTTTTTGACTCGCCGGCAACCCTATGAACAGCAGGTTTGTCAGTCTCGGACTGCCGCTATCCTCGGGGAAATCTATAAAGATTGACCACGCCTCCTGTCTTAAGCTGTGGTTCACGTCACTCTACCCTTACTATTGCCTAGGAATCTGGGGACCAGTGCCTGGAGGCCTTATGCGCGCTGCTGACCGAGTTTTTCGGCGACCAGACAACCAACGAACGAAAGAGGGAGATCGGTAAGGACGCCTGAAAATCTCGGTGTATTTGCGCAGTTGGCTGAAGTATAGTACAGTTCTGGTACATGGAGCACGTCTCCGACTGGTGTGTCTAGCGTCCTATCCCGCCCGTGCATCAGACGTTGTCCCGAAGTGGCAACAAATACCGTCACAGAAGCCAAAGTGTTACGCTGCCGGAAGTCGTGGTCCCAGCAGTTGGTGCTAGGAGTCGTGCCGAAAAGTGCAGACCGGTCCACTTTTAAAGGGAACACTGGAGCGCGTGGCCGGCGCTCCGCACTGTGCCGGCTGGTGGTGCCCGTGGAAGCTTGGCGCAGACGCAGTGAGCATCAGAGGCTGTGCCTGCCACGCGTCATCTGCTTCTGCACGTTAACGCGCAGGCGCAGTGAGCGAAAGAGCGGCGCAGTAGCAGATGACACACTGCATGCATCGCTTCTGCTGCTCACTGCGTCTGTGCCAAGCTTCCACGGGCGCAGCGCAGAGCGCAGGCCACGCGTTTCGGTCTCGACTTTAAAAATGGACCGCTCTGACCGAGTGGATGAGAGTGTAGCTGTTGTTGCATCGTCCAAACTCCTCACTGCTGAAACTTCCGTGGATTGCCGAGCAAGAGGGCGACCTGCAGCAGAAGGGGTGTCTGCCGCACCTATCACCGCTGGTGTGACACCGCCAGTATCGCGGCAGGCAACAGCATGACACTTTTATGATGGCATCGGGCGGAAATGGAGGGACCACTTTTGAGGAGGCGGTAAACACACCAGTCAGTTCCAGACACCATAGCACAGGAGGGGGACATAACTCTTCCGTTCTGTTGTTTGTGCAGAAGGATTGCTGACAAACTTTGGCAGACAGGAAGGATGTTGGCGGCAGTGTCTGCACTTCCTCGTCCACTCGACGAACCAGTACGTCATGATGTTCAGTTTAAATGTCCTGGAGGTAAGCTGTAATTAGTTTCTTCCTTACTTCCCGCGCGGCTGCAGTGTGTAGCACGTCAACGAACCGAGTCCCTATGCCTGTTGCGTAGACATAACTTTGGCCCTTGGAAAAACTAAGGGACATCCTTCTATTTTATTTGGTGTTGCCAGAGCAGTTGATTCACTGCTCTGGCAAGAGGCAATCAATCAATCCAGGACCTAAAATGATTGTCACTGGTTGGTTGATCAGTTGCTCTGGCAGGAAACAATAATTTAATTGATTGTTTCCTGCGTGGAAACTATCTAGACACTCAGGCTATCATTAGGGAGTTTCAGAATAACGTACGCAATTTTAGCGCATGCTAGCACTATTTTTAGCGCTTGCGTTAGTGCATGTGACGCAAGAGAGTTTTAGAATAGCGTTCCTCTGCTACGACACAAAAGCCCAAGCATCTCACACTTGAACACCACCAAGATAGTCACAATTTTTATTTCACACACGAAGTGCTGTAACTTGAGAAAAAAAACAAGCTTTTCTGGTCCAGGGTAACATTTTAGATTGGTTTAAATGTGAGAATGCGATGTGAGCAGTCGACCGGTCGTGTCCGCCTGCATACTTCGCACACCGTACCTTCGCCGAAAAATGTTAGCACGTCGTAAGCATCGAGTTGCTGGTGATCGTTGCTCACCTTTGTGGGTTTTCCAAACCGAGCGCAATATCGTCCCGTATTGAAAACCGCAGTCGGAAGGATGCCGCCAATGTCGCACTCACGACGCCGCCAAAGCGGCCGCAGTCATGATCCCATGGGGACCGCCATTTTTATACTGTGCTTGTCTTGGCTTTAGCCAACTTCTCCTTAAAGGAGTGCAAAGACTTTGCGTACGCACGCAAAGTGCAAACGTGATTAGCATTTGGCACGTGCGCAGCGGCAACGACTCTATTCTTTGCGTATGCAAAGCTTTAACGTGCGTTATTTTAAAACTCTCTATTGTTGATTGGCTGTCACAACAGGAGACGATCGGTAAGCGTTGGATCCGGATGCCCGCCGAGAGCAAGGCAGAGATCCGAACGACACTACAGCGCTTTCTGCTCGCCAAGCACCGGGAAGTGGCGGCGTTCCTGCGCAACAAGCTGTGCAAGCTGGTGGTGGACATCGGGCGCCTGGACTGGCCACACTTCTTCCCGGACTTCTTCTCCAACATCCTGCAGGTGAGACCCGGCCAGCAGCTCTAGGCCAAAGACTCGGCCGGCAACCTAGCCGCGTCTTCGGCTAGGTCCTTGCCCGGAATTTATGATAACGACGAGGTCGTCTGTCTCAACGCGGTCTCTTCTAAAGGACTGACGTGCGCAGCAATATGGTGCCTGGAACGCGTCTTAGACCGGTGCATTCGTCATCCTATCCCACTTGTGCGTCGAAAGCGGTCCCTAGGCGGTGACAAATTGTGTCGCGATCCCGGTGGTTGGTCGTACAAATACTGGCGAAAAAAGTGAGCAGACGGGAGGATCGCAGTTGTTGCAGCGTCTTGTCTCGTGCCTGCCGCTCGGGTTTTCTGTCGACTGTCTGGCTGCAGAGCACCCAACGGCATCTGCCTCTGCTGCCATGCCATCTCCGGGATCGTGGCTGGCAACGGCACAACACTCTCTTCGACGTGCTCGGGCAGAAATTGAGGCACTATTAATGAGGACACGGTAAACACATTGGTCGGAGACGTGCTCCGGGCAGCGCCGCCGCTCTGGTAGCTGCGGGTCAAGGCGCAGGCCTACGAACAGCCCGGAGGGCAGGGTTAGATTCCCAGCCGAAGTACCTGCAATCTGAAGGAGGCTCGTTGCGGAGAAGGTGCCGTCGTAACCGAGCTTTCGGTTGCGCGACAGAAGATCCCCGCGGGGTCGAAAATAACTCTCGGTCCTGCGCCAGGGCGTGTCTGATGCCTTTCATCGGTTTGGCTCGTAAAACGCCCAAGTTTGACTTTCGTGCTTCGGGTAGCGTAGTGACAAGGGATTTACCGGCAGGGTGTCTAGCGACCGGGAAAACCGTGAATTGTCAGTGAAATTTTATTTACCAGAAAAATCAGGGAATTGTCAGGGATATTGTTAAAAAGTGAGCCCTGTCAGGGAAGATGAGCCGGAAACGCCATAGAGTTACCTGAGCAAAGGCTCCTTGACTTGGGGGCAGAAAAAGAGGCAATAAATTCTGCTTAGAGCGGAGTGCAGGCTCTGCTCTCCCGATGTAGAGTATGCTACTCGGTGCAAAGGGAAGAGCCGACAAATCCAGTTCAAGCCTTGGATTGGATTGAATTAGAATGAAGGCACGACACAAGGCTAGATTCAGTTAGAGCTACTAGACTTAGTAACGAATGGAAAAGTCGCGGACCGTATTTTAATCCAAACCTTAGGCCGAAAGTGTGCAACTGGCGGCCCTGTGGACATTTGGTTATTGACATGTGTGGTTGAACGTCGTGTTTTCATCGTATTTCCGGAAGTGGCCTCTTCGCTGACGATGTCGGTGGCAAGAAGGTGCTCGTTTTTTCGTGGTGGACGAACCCGAATATTTCAGAATGTGCAAGTTGGATTAAGCCCGTGCGATATGATCCTTTCAGTGCTCAATGCTCAATGCCTTGTGTTGTAAAGGTCTTGTATACTTAACCACCTCTACAGTGATCAGGGAACTTCACCTGAAATTGTCAGGGAAAATCTGGAAAAGTCAGGGAGTTACAAAACAATAATTTGCTAAACACCCTGACCGGGTCCGCACGTGCCGGAGTTGCGCCGAGCATGCAGAGACGCCCTCTCCCTTCCCCCAGCTGTGCCAGACGAGCGAGACGTGCCTCCTGGGCCTGGTCCTGCTCAAGACTGCCTCGGAAGAACTGGCCTGTCCGAGGGACGACCTGTCGGTGTCCCGCAAGGCGGAGCTGCGCCGTCTGCTTTTAGAACAGGTGCCTGCGGCACTGGCCGTCCTCGCAGGTGCGTCTGCATATTTGTTTTGTTTCTTTTCAAAATGTACACATGTGGGAGAATGTTGAACGGATAAATTGAGAAAAAAACAAAATTCCGAACGTTTCTTGAGGGGAACGGAACCCGTGACCCCAAGATTGCTAGCCCGACGCTCGACCGCTGCTCGACCAATGTTTACAAAATGTGACGACGTTCCTTTCGCCAGCCAACACCGCAAAATGTGCCAGTAGCACGAACGAGTAGCTGCGACTTTTGTTTCCGCTGCACGAGAGCTCGTGCGGCCGAGGCGCAATTGAACGCGAGGAGTTTGGCTCTGTGTCTGTAATTCCGCGAGGATTTGAAAACATTTGAAAGGAGTCTGTGATAGAAACCGTATGCTGGAAGTGCTCGAGAAGAAAATGCGCCGAAGAGCAAGTCGCTGAACAGAAGCGGTGGCCCACGCAGGCTCCGCATGTTTGTCGTGCCAATAAGATGCTAGAAAAGGGGGAACAGTGTTTGGCTAGGGGCGGAGAAGCAGGGTGGTCTCGTTCTGCTACGACCAAAGGTCAAGTGAGGGAATGACAGTCGTTTTACACTCACAGTCGAGGTAGGGCAAAAGGTATCGGGCGCATGCTGGACGACGGGCTTTCAAAAGAGACACTGTGCCACTCTGTTTCTGCTTGTGACTACAGTCAATCCGAATTCATGATTATTCGATACAGGTCTATCACCTTGATTTTGTATACGGTATAGACCACTTACATTGTAACCGCTTATAGTGCAGGGCCGGGTATAACGCAACTTTTTTAAACCACCGGTTCGCCTCCCATAGAACTCCATGTAATTACTTACCGCTTAAAACGCAGGCGCGCTTAGGGAAATACCGCTTATAGTGCGGTTTCTGAAACAGCCCGCTGAGCCGACCGACGCAGCGAGCACGCTTCCCTGTGCGACACTAGATAACCAAGATAACGGCGGTATACTCCGTTTCACTTTATGTCGTACCGAAGCGAAGGCTAGAAGCGCGAGCTCGTAGCGTTGGCAGCTGCCCTTGATGCACAAGAGCATGTGCCGCCGAGATGTTCCCTAGAGCCGAGAGCTCGCGCTTGTAGCCTTTCCTGCGGTACATCACAAGGTGAAACAGAGTATAGCCGCAAGCGGCACTCTCTGGGCAAGGAGGTTGCTTGAAGAAGCGGAAGAGAGGAGGCTTCAGTTGCCATAGCAACGGAGGGGTGCACGCACGTGTCGTTCATGTGCGTGTGTCCACGACGTGCGTCCCTCCGCTGCGTAGTAAACAACCGCTGCGGCAGACCAATCGCAAGTCGAGGAGAAGTGTTCGCGCGCGTTGCATGCCGGTCGCGGGGCAGCTTCTTGCTTCTATCCGGAAACATGACATCGTTTGTGATCGTCGACGTAGACGGCGTGGTGGAAGCTCATTGTTCCGCGTAAAAGCGCTATCCTTGACTGTGAATTTTCGTTGTGTGTCGCTATGAGAACCCAGCACGTACTTACTAGAAGGGAAGATCCACATACTCTTGCGGCGATGTCGTTGCGCCACTCTCAAGATGGCAGAAACGCCCGTGTCGTCGTGTTTGTTTACTTCGACCACAGTGGTGCTTTCTAAGCATTTGTGTTTTCGAACATCGCCCAGATTTCTTATTTGGAGCATTTCATGCCTGTGCTCAAGTTGAAGGTATTACTGGCGCGTACCGTATAAAGCCTAAAGGATGCGAATTTCATGCGTTTTCATTGCCGGAGAAAAGTCATTAGGGTTAGCAATCCTGAACGCTCGCAACATCCGTCCGCAACCCGCGGCGCTGCTAGAAGGCTGCGCCAGGCAAAAGTCGCTCATTTCTTTCAAAATGTGTGACACACTTGAGAGAGAAGTGTACTAGTCTGGTGAAATAAAGACTTTCCTCAAACTAAGCTTTATTTTTCATCTAACATAAAATAAATTCATTTACAAAGGTAAGTTGTCTCATGGCATGTATTTTGGCCTGAAAAATTGATGTTTTGGTTATAGCGCGGTACCGCTTATAGTGCGGATTTTTGCGACTCCCGCGACATACGTTATATGCGGTCTACACTGTATCTTGATTCTGCTGGATCAGTCTGGCCCGACTGATATGAACGGTGCTTTCTAATCCCAGGCATCCTGGATTCGGTGCTGGAGAAGCATCGCCACCTGGTGACGGCGACGCCGCCGCCTTCCCCCACCCACGGCCAGAGCCAGGCGTCTCTCAACTCGTCGCCTCTCCAGCAAGGTACTACCACCTTGGGATAACGGGGACATCTTTAAACGGCCCGTCTAAAAAACTCTTATTTACAGCAATTGCTGTTAGAGGGACTTACCAGCTGCATTTGCAGCATTGTGCCAGGGAGAACACTACGTCCCACGTGTGCTCACACGTGCACCGCTCCTTGGTGCCAGGCGGAGCGCACAGACTTGACTTTTGCGCGAGGGGCCGCAGCAGTGTGGAAGCTTTGCTAACCCTGATATTGTCATGTAGAAAAGCATGGGGACAAACTAGAAAGCTGACAAGACACATTCCTGAGACAGTGTGTGTATTTGTGGGCTTTTCATTTTGCACCTACTTTTTATTCAGTTGACCGAAGTACCTATGGGGTCGCAGTTTTGATTTAAGGAGACCGCAAGAACGAGTTGCATTTGTTTGGATAAAATTTTCAAGACAAGCTCTTGGAGCTTGTCTCGAAAATTGTTTTTATTGTTTTTCTTGTGTTTTTAAAGGGGCAGTGCAACAGTACTTCGTTGAAATTTTTTATGCGCGCTTACTGGCACCAGCGGGACCCAAGTATAGGTACTTGCATGCAATGCCACTTGCTGGCCAAGAAACTCCTTTGTTGCAGTGTAATTTCAAAAATAAAAGTGAGCGTTTTCTTTCAGTGTTGTTACAAAACCTTATGACGTCGCTCAGTGTTGGCATAGTCTGCAGAGTGACAATATTTGAATGCGACTCGTAGATTGGACCCGAGCATTGCGTGAGCACTCGATTGGGGCTCGCAATAACCTACAGCTCGACAAGCATTTGTGTAGTGGCTCTCGTCCAGTCGCTGCAGCAACATCAATAGCCGAATCCTAACAACATCTGGAACTTTGCACGTGTTCTCTGGTTTGGCAACTCTAGCACGGGGCTATGATACTATTGGTGGCATTTAATCGACTCCAGATCCTGTGGCGAATTGTTCTGGCTTAAACTTCAGAAAATAAACGCTGCTGTTTTTTTTTTAAATTGTTTGTTTTGCATTTGTTATTGTGCGGGAAAAAAGATGAATATGTGTTCCATCAGTTATAAATGTCGAGCTGTATTGGTGCAAGGTACAGAAATCATTGACCCTCCCCTTGAAGCTTGACTGCAACCAAATGCTCACGACTGGCGGCACGATTCCTCCTGGCAGGCAATGCGCTGAGCAGCATGTTTGAGTCGCTGAGCAAGACGCCGCTGCAGCAGTGCCTGCCCCCCGTGGACGGGGAGTCGCAGGCGCTGTGTGTGCAGGCCCTGGGTTGCCTGGAGCACCTGTTCAGCTGGGTGCCGCCCTCCCGGCACGTGTCCCCCGCCCTGCTCACCGCCCTCTTCCACTTCTCCGCCTTTGGCTGCCACCCCGACACCGTGAGCGAGCTCGCCCGTCTCTGCGCTCTGTCGGAGCACACTCCCAGCACTCGGGGAGTAATTGGGGGCGAGGAGAGATTGGTCTGTCAGAGAGTACACCCGATAAAGAAGAAAATTTGGCAGTGACCTTTATCTCCAAGGCCCTATAATGTATAAAATGCAGTACTTAGGAAGCGATCACTTAAATTTGTTTAGAAGACATTAAACAGTTATCTTAGGAAGGGGAGAAGGACCTACCATATTTACTCGCATAATGAATGCACCCCCCCACAATGGGCATCAATATTTGGACTTTTTTCTTTTTCTCACGTAATGAATGCACTTTTAATTTTCTGCCCCGCGAGTCTTGAAGCCAATTTTGTTTTGCCACCAAGCGGTCAGGCCAAGTCAAGCCAAGCTAAGCCAAGCTGCTCTCGTAATGGCTGCTTTTGCGTGGTTGTGAATGTGATCAACCGTGAAACCGAGTGGCATGCACACTTGACTAAACTTGGGTCGAGGAATTGCCAAGCCCCAGACATTCTTCGCCTATCGGATGCATTGATGTCAACAAACACGCCGTTGTCTGTGGTCCGCTTTCGGACAGTGATATCGTGAAAGTGGTTAAAGGGGCCCTGCAATCATATTTAAGCGTCTACCTTTTTTTCCGGCTCCGTGCCCGCTGGCTTGCCCGAACCCCAAGAGACGTGGAGTCTCTTGGGGTTCGGGCAAGCCAGCAGTGCACGGAGAGATTAACTAAATATGAGTGAGTCATATTTTAACCAGACGACGCGGAAACCTCCTTTACCTACGAGGGCGACCCATGTTGCCGAAATCGCACGAAATGTGACGTCTTTGGTCCTGGGCTTACTACTGGTCAGAGCCGCTAAAAGCTTCTTTTTAGTCGAAATACAAAATATAAGTGTTGCGAACCGTTTCAGTTATGTATGAAAGTAGTTTTTGTTCGGTATTTTAGATCAGAAAAGAAACAAAGGCAGTTTATAAAGTACGGAAACAAGAAATGACCCGTCGACATACCCGCCACCAAGCGGCGGAAAAAACGGCGCATACTAGAAAAGGCTAGTGGGATGAGACTCCGACGAACGGCGAGCATAGAAAGGTCCCGGTTGCACACGGCGGCGCTGCGGTCATATGCCGGCTCGAGGATCCGACCGGTTGCGAGCGTTCCGAAGGCTTTCGGCGCGAGCTTGGCTGGCGATTTGGCCATTGGGCGGTATGGCAGCGCGAAGTGGCTCCCGTTTTGAACTGATCTTTACCTCGTGTTTGCTGTCGTTTGTGGCCAATGAAGTGTTATGCCGAATTAGTGTTTAATCGCGCAGCAAATGCAATGCGAGCCGCCCTGGCCGCCCGCCTCATACAGCTTATCCAACACGTGCTTTAGTGGCGCCCTCTCGAGCTGTCGACACGGAGTGCGGCAGCCGTGAGCGCTCGATGAGCTCACTACTCCTCCTCTAGTTCACGGCCACTCAAGCCAGGACCTATGACGTCATGAAGGAGGTTATTTTTTGCTTGTTTTTGTAATTCTAATTTGCCTATAACTTTTAAAATAAAGCGAAATTTGAGAAAAGAAAAGTTTCTTTAAGTTAGTACGTTCAGTGCACCCAGGTTCGGTGCAAATTAAAAACCAGTCAAAAAGTTTTGCACCCAGGTTCGGTGCAAATTAAAAACCAGTCAAAAAGTTTTTGCAAGGCCCCTTTAAGCCTGAGAACGGTCGCATCGCTCTCTGTGCTAAGTGAGCTTTGTAGGGCGCTTTTTCTTTGGCAAAAGGTACACCAAAGGCGCCCTAAAAAAGGTTCACAATTTATAGATTATGGTTACTGTGGTGCACCCACGACCAGCCATGGGTGCGCCTCTGTCAATGGAGACGTGCCACAGTACCCTGCCATGTCATATTGGTACCAAAAATGACATTCGCGCAAAGTGTGTAAATGCAAACCATTTACCCTACGTAATGAACACACACCCCCCAATATGTGTAAATTTTTCGGGAAAAAAAGTGTGCTCGTTAGGCAAGTAGATACGGTATATTTTCATTGATTTAGTGAAGAAACTGACTTGGTGCTCAAATCACGGGACATCAATTTCCCCGCCAAATTTAGCGGGGAAACTGAATTGGGTGTAGAGGCCACGTGACATCCATTTTCCCGCAAAATTTAGCTGGGATCGTGAGTTGGCATATATTACTTTACTATCAAATCGTACAAAAAAAAAAAAAAGTTACCCAGAATGCAAAAAATTAGCGAATATTCTAATTATTTTTTTTCTATGTCGAAAATGATAAAAGGCGAGACAGGATGCTATATGTGTGCGGGAGAAAAACGAAACGCAAAAGGAAAGGCTGTCTCTTCGTTCTGAGCTTGTCAATAGAGACAGTACTCAAATTGAGACAGTACTACGCTCCCCTTGTTCATGTGCCCGATACAACGTCGTAGATTAGTTTCACTTTCTACCGTAAGAGTTATGCCCACGTTTACACTCGGGTATGTGTGTGGTGCCTTGCTTGACTCTTTAATTCCTGATGCGCACGCTCCACACATGTGTGGTTGCGGTTGCAGCTACTCAGGTAAATGGCAGGTCGTGCAGTCTTGACGACCGTCCCGGTAACTGGAGGCCCGACTAAAGTTGACGTGTGGCGGTGCCTTCTGTTTTGCAGTCCATGACGACGGACGCCGGCTCGGGGCAGGACCGGTCCGAGCTCGGGGTGGTGGCCATGAGCTGCATCAACGAGATCCTCTCCAAGAACTGCGTGCCCTCGGACCTGGAGGACTTTCTGCTCCTGGTCTTCCAGAACACCTTCTACATCCTCCAGATCCTGACCAAGCACGACGTGGTCACCGTTGGCACAAACACCAGTCTCGTCACGGCCAACAACCGGCTGGGCGGCCTTAACGACAGGTGGGTGCAAGAAACCGTGCGCTCGTTTGTTCCGGCGCAAAATGTGTTAGAGGGCCGAGTTTTATGAGAAAAACGGCACATTACACGCTATCAATGCACGAGCGAAGGTCGTATGTTTGCGAATAACAATAGAAGATTAATGTGAAGCTGAAAATGAACATTTATTGGGGCAAACGTGTGCCTACACACTTAAAGTTTAAGGTACCAGCATCTTGCCTCGGAGATGCTAGGGTGACTGCCCCGAAGCAGCGCATTATTGCTGCTCTTATACATGCTGTACATTTAGGAATGTTACGAACCAGGACACAGTATGAGAGCCGAGAATGGGCTGGAACCTTCCAGAAGAACACTGATTGATTGATAAACAAAAAATCGTGAGCCATTTCTCTCTGTGAAGGTTGATGACCAGCGAAGTTGTTTAGCACACGACACAAACGCGCCCCGAGGAGCTGGAGGAAACTAGACGTGTGGACAGTACCGCCACCTGGTAGAAAGTAGACACGTGCGACGGGACCACCACCCCGGGAGAGCGGAAGGAAAGGAAACTAGGCACGCAAGCGCTTGGAACGACAACAAAGAGAGGGTGGTGCGAGCGTAGACATGGCCAACGCAGGTCGCACTGTGGCAAATCTTTGAGAAACCTTTATTATCTACCTGAGAGTCTACTGATCTTGAAAAGGGTGCCTATTGAAAAGTAGTATACTGAATAGACCTATTGCTAAATTACACAAGCATCAAGGAGAAAGCAGGGAATGGTGTTCCATGCACTGCACATGCCGGCTTCTGCAGCAGTAACTGTTTTAAAGCAAGAGCCTAAAAGAAATGTCATAAGAGTTTTTAGTCACTGCACACAAAAAATCCACGGAGCCCTAGCCATAAACAGCTTCGCTACAAAAAGAACGAGGCCGAGCAGGGTTTGAACTCTTCCTCCACACGGCAGCTGCATCCGTTGCCAACACCACCACCACACACAACAGTATGAACAATGTAGCCCCATAGGGGCATCATTTACATTCCCCGCTAAATTTAGTTGAAAAATCGCGACATCATTAGACTCGACGTTAAAGGGGCACTGACACATCAAAATCATTTTTTTTTTACTATCCGAAACGATTGAAAACAATGCCGGGACATTACCCTCAAAATTTGAAACTTGGGAATTCAGTATTTCTCAATTAAAAAAACAATTTCCAAACGCCAAATTTGAAGTTCCCGCGTGATCCGCGCCAGTGCAGCGAGTCAAATTTCGCGGTCTCCTGCGACTCGACTTTCTTTGGGACCTCCGCCGTTGCCACGGCGACCCGAAGCTAGGAGGAGGTGACCGGCACCGGCACGGGAAAAAAACGGTTTCTTCCCCGAATCGCCGATAAGCCTCTGCTCGAGCGCCGCCAAGTTTGCCGAGGGAGGATACAAATCCAGGAAGCGACATCACACCGAAATCTGATTTTTGGTATTTCAAAAAGAGGGGCCGTAGTGCGTGTTCAATCGCGTTAAAAAACATGTTTTACGATTGCCGTTATTAAATGGTATAGAAATGTTGCCTACAAAGCTTCTTAATTGCCTGATTTTTGACGTCGCCGATCAAAAGAAGCAAGGAGGTGAGCGCGGGAAATATAAACAACAAAAATAAAAAAATTTTTTCGCGATGCGTTTTTTTTTGCGTGTTTATGACTATAACTTGCATTGTTTTTGACAATAAAAAAAAATACAACCTTTGGGGTGTCAGTGCCCCTTTAAGTTTGGGTGTCGTGTGATGTCGCATTACACCCTGACATTACGTGGCTTGATGTCAACTTCAGATGTGATGTTATGTCACCTCACATGACGTCACTCTGTCCCGTGACATGCGTCTTCTAGTTGATCAGGTATAGTCGCGACATACCGTATTTGCACGAACGCAACATGAGGGCAGCTTTTGCACCCTAAAAAGAAAAAAAAAATGGTTACGACTATAATGCGAACGTAAAGTTACCGCACTTGAGGGCGTAGCAGAAGTGAAAAGGGGATGATAAGCGGGAAAATATTGTGTACGTTTTGACTGCACTCATCGTCGCTGCTCGCCTCCTCGCAACGCCTTTATGACTTGGGAGATACGCTTGTCTCGTAGTTTCTTTCTCTTCGGGGCAGAAGCGGGTCCAGAATTCCTTTTTGGGGTAGGGGCGGGGAGTTTGAAAGGATTCTATTCTTCCATTCTTTCTTGGGCACCGGGGGGTCCACCCATGTCAAAATGCCCTCCGAAAAGGGGAGAGGGGAGGGGGTCGACTTTGTTTGGGGGGAGGCGGCCACCCCCGTCGCCCCCCATGGGATCCGCCCCTGCTTCGGGGTGACCTCTTTGTCCGCAAGCTATTCCTCTCTAATCACTGTGTCAAGTCGGTTGACTTACGAAACGCACGAAGCAGAAACACCAATGCACAAATGCCAGAACTCACTCGAGCAGAAACTAAAAGATGCACAGGCAGGACAAAGATTGCTGGAAGAGATACACAATTGTTCTCGCCCTTGCTACGCTCCCTTTACATGAACAAACATGTCGTGTTTCATAATTGCGTAAACGCACCCAGCCATCTTGGCTTTGCTCGTGTCTTGGTCTGGCTCGCTTGGCTCGAACCGGCCGGTGTCCCGCACTCCGGTCATGTTTTAGCCGTTTTTGCAACCGCATGCATTGCACAAACATAAAAACGTTAGAGAATGTGGGTTTGAATTATCGAGATTCGACCATATACTGTCTCGGTGCAGTAGGTCGGTGGAAACAGGTACAGTAATTTAACACACTCATCCCATGGCGCTGCGTGTTTGCCAGTGCGCCACTAACACGGAGTGTCCAAGGTCAGAGCGGCGAGGAGAGGTGCCTTCTCCTCGCTGGGAGAGCGCGCCGCTCTGCCGTCAACGCAAATACGCTGCAGAAGACGAAATAAGGGGGCGGAAGAATGATGTACATGCTTTTGCATTCACAACTCATAAGGAGTGCTGAGGTGTACCTCGAGCCTTTTTATATTGAGTTACATGATCCGACTACTCGAGGTTGGGTGTTCGTTGAATGGGGCAAAGGATTACAAGGCAGGAAGTAACAAAGTTCAATTCTGTTTTCTTCTCCCTTTTGTCACGTCGGTTTCCGGAAACCAGCTACCTGGACAAGTTCACGGAGTTTTTGCGTCTCTTTGTGAGTGTCCATCTTCACCGGTTTGAGGAGAACAGCCACTGTCCTGTGCTTCAGTTCCTAGCTCTGCTCTTCGAGTACACCTTCCAACAGGTGGGTGGCAAGTCATTTGTCTCTGACTAGGTCGGCGACCTTTGGACCTAAAGGTCAGGGACCTGTGACTTTAGGCGCGAAGCATTTCGTTATGTCATTGCCAATAAACCTCTTTTAGGAGCGAAGCTCCTTAGGGTCTAGCCTTTTCCGTCCGGTGTCCGTGCTCTCATCGATTGCCATTCCATCTGTCTTCTTAAAAAAAGAAAAAATGTTTGCACAGTCGACAGGATTCGAACCTATGCGGGGAGACCCCAATGGATTTCTAGCCCATCGCCTTAAAGGGGCACTGACACATCAAAATCATATTTCATTTTATTATCCGAAACGATTAAAAATGATGCCGGGACATTACCCTCAAAATTTGGAACTTTTGAATTCAGTATTTCTGAATTAAAAAAACAATTTCCAAATGCCGAATTCGAAGTTCCCGCGCGATCCACGCCAGTGCAATGAGTCAAATTTTGCGGTCTCCTGCAACTCGACTTTCTTTCAGACCTCCGCTCCACGCTGTGAAGCAAAGCGTTATTGCTACCGCGACCCGAAGCGAGGAGTTGAGCAGGCGGGATAGAAGGGTGTCGGCGCGAGAAAAAACCGGTTTCTTCCCCGACTCGCCCATCAGCCTCTGCTCGAGCGCTGAAAAGTTTTCCGACGGAGGGTACAAATCCAGGAAGCAACATCACACCGAAATCTGATTTTTGGTATTGCAAAAAGAAATGCCGTAGTGCGTTTGCAATTGCGTTAAAAAACATGTTTTATGATTGCCGTTATTAAATGTTATAGAAATGTCGCCTACAAAGCTTCTAAATTTCATAATTTTTGACGTCACCAATTAAAAGGAGCAAGGAGGTGAGCCTGGGAGATATAAACAACAAAAATAAAAAGGTGCGCAAGAAAAAATTTTTTTTTGCATTGCGTTTTTTTTTTGCGTGTCTATGTCTACAATTTGCATCGTTTTAGACAATAAAAAACACGACCTCTGGGGTGTCAGTGCCCCTTTAACCACTCGGCTACGACTGCGGGACGAGTTGGGGGCTCTGAGATGTGGTAGTAACTCAAGAGCTGGGGATGTCGTGGATGAAACGTTGCATGTAGCCGCTCAACGTCTATACAGGAGAGGGCGCTGCGGTCAAATGCGTATATAATCGCGTTAAACTTTGCATGCATTGGCTCAACGTTTATAGACGAGAGGGCGCTGCGGTCAAATGTGTATATAACCACGTTTCATACCACACATTCTCTTTATGACATGGACCGTTGACTTAAGCGGTGGAGATGCATTCTCATGGCTTCTAGCGGATCCAAGCTGATCTGCTAGAAGAACCACTGGCTCTGCGTTTCACCGACCATAAAGCAGTAATAATGAAGTCGAAACGCAACCCAGAACTCAGCACTACCTATGAGCAATTAAAAAATCAGCACCATCAGCACTACCTATGAACAATAAAATCAGTATCAACAGCACCACCAGAGCTTCGTCCCAATCAACATCACTCACCACGTGGGGATGCGGTAATTTTTTAATAATGAGCGCCGAGTGACGGTTTGTCTGCGAACTACAAATGAAGATCAGGTCATCGGGACTCCGCTTGTCAAAACACATCGACATCATGCCATTGTATCGGTTTTTGTTGCCCTTTATGCTTCATGCTACTGATGCCCAGAGAGAGAACAAATTGCAAAAGTGACGAAATGCGCGGAAAGTTGGGCTCCGACAATGTTGGTCGTGCGAGATGGTGCCCTCCGAAAATGGAGACAGTGGGAAGCTAAGCCAGGGGAGAGGGTGTGCGCATGCGCAGAAGCTTGCTACAAAAATGTCCATTGGACAAGCGAGGATATGGGAGTTTAACTTCAAATTAATGAAGCGATGTGATGTTTGCAGGTTTTGTTTTGTAACAGATATTGCTACATTAAGCTTTGCAATGTTTGACTCAGACTTCCATTCATATTTTTAGAAATTGAAATTTCAATAAGGAGGGACATGGGCCTAAGTTTTAAAATTGTTTGAAAAAATTCATTTTTAAATTCTGAGGTTTTCAGTTTTAAAAACTAATTATACACCCTTACACTAAATTTCATAACTATGCGCCAAATAGTTACGTTGATATAAAATATTTTCAACACATTGTGAGGCGGTAACAAAGTAAAGGAGTTTAATGTTTGAATGCATTTTTCTCAGTTCCACTTTTTGCTGCAAATTTCATACGAAGGAATCTTTTGTTTGAAAGTAAAAGTATTCTGATACCACAATAAAGATGCTTCTGAACTGAATTTTGCTGGGGAATCGGGCTATCTACCTTATTTTGTTTTACATTAAAGTCCTCATTGAGAAAAAACTATGTCTTCAAAAATTGACATAGGACAGATATGCATCTCATATTTTGAAATAATCACTCTTCCTGAAATATTTACATTTGAGTTATAAAAACTAGATAGCCTGAAGTCCCACATCACACACTTTATACTCAAGCAGTTAAAGTATTGCTTAATAGCTTCATTTGCATATCATAGATTTCTTATCGAAGGGTGACACACCTTCTTATGCAGGAATGTAAAGTTGTCCTAGAGAGCTGAAAGTTTGCACAGTACACCTACATCTGAAGTTCGATCTGCCCTGCAAATTTCTTTCCGATCACTTGAGTAGTTTAGAAGTTCAACCTCTAGCCAGTGTCCCCCCTTAAAATACAAATATATGTGTGAGTGGCTGAGCCATGCTTGGGAGATAAATTATGTGCAATTTGTCTTGTATGATTAATGGGAAATCTCAGCTTTTTTTATAAACTCAGTACAGATAAGTATAACTGGTGAATTTTGTTTTAATTGGCTTCATTGTTAATTTTTGTTTTGTAATATATTATTTTTATATGTAGTACATTTTTCTTATTGCAGTTTGCTCGTGATAATACATGCAAACTTACTTCATCAATATTATTTATCTTGATTTAAGTACATTAGAACTCTGTTTATATGTTTGTAGCATTGGTTGACAAAGGAACAGCAATTCAAAAACAGACATGCAAAAAAGGAAAAAAAATTATGCATCAGAATCATTTTCCAAAGGGGGACACACGTCCCCCTTTGGGAAATGCTAACACTGACCCCGTAACAAAGCCAAAAAGATGTAGCAAAGGTTTAGCAAAACTAGAGAAAGCAAAAGAGAGAGCTAAGAGAGAAAAGTGAAGGGGTCAGCATTAACGTTTCCCAAAGGGGACATGTGTGGCGTTTCCTGAGGTTTATGCTAACACATTCCATAAGGATCCTTCGGATGACTTTCCTTTAATTTTAGACCCCTAGGCTATGCAGTATACTACCAAAATGCCGCCCACACCGGCAAGGTAAAAAAGGGTTCTTCCCTGCCAGGCACAATGTATCGGAAAGCCAAGATCGGGGAAGCCTCGAAAAATCGCTGATAACACTTCGAACCCTATCACGGCCGCCGGAGGAGTTTCTTCTCCTGAGCGGGAAAAGAAGAGGTGAAACCTCCTCGCTTGCTGGTCGTTACCGTGGACGAGTGGGGGAATGTAAAAGGTCCCCCCGGGAGAGTGCGAAGAGGACGGCCCCCGAGTGGGAGCCCTCCTATGCCTCACGGAGAGGTCGGAGCTCACAGCACTGGGGCCGAGCGTTTCGACCTGCGGCCTTTGTGACGGCCATTGGAGACATTACGACGTCACATGGCTCTGTGACTTCACGGTGTCAAGTAACGTCACAGTCCTTTTGACCGTTCTTCACGGTGACTTTCGGATAGAATTCTGCTGGTAAAACACATTCTGCATTAAAATTAAATGTCGGTCTATAATTAACCGAAGCGTGTCTGTCTACCAAAGCGAGCGAAATTTCCGAGCCCGTCGATCTAATCCGGATGTTCTCCCGCATTGGCCGCCACTCCCAGCACGCCGGTGCAAAGCGTACAACCATAAAATCTGGTCAGGAGTAGCAGACTCTGGCTTTACATTACTACTGCCGCTGCCATGCAGCCGTGTTGTAAGCGCCTCAACAGAATACGTGTGTCGCCAAATAAACTTTTTTCCGGAAAAAAAATAAGGAATAAAAATGTTTCCGCAATATTTCTGTTGCGAGACTCGTTCTAAGGATTTGGAAACAGCTTCTGTTTCGAGACGTTGACCCAGAAATGAAAGCGGTGTGCAGAATCGCCCTTCCGTTGTCGTTCCAGCCTGCCCTGGAGCGGTACTACGCCTGCCTGGACATCTGGGCCGTGTTCCTCGAGTACCTGGTGGCCAGGCTCAACAGCAAGCTGGGCGGCGGCCTCGGGGATGCCACAGTGCGCAGGTACGCCGAAAGAATTACCCAGCATTTCGCTACGGTGTACGAAGGAGCGACGGTGATAGCTCGGTCCTTCACGCTCTGCTTGAACATGGCGAGCCTCGTATGCCCTCTTTCGGAAGGTGTCCTAACTTTGCGCGGCCTCCCCCTGTGCTCGCGCTGAAACCCAGAAGAGAACTGACAGGATGTGACGTCGTGGCTCTTTCTTTATAAACATCCCGAGGAGGCACTGGCCCTGCGGCATCGCCTGTGATGATTGCTGATTGTTTGTGGCCCTTCCTTTTGAATCGATTGCTGCCGCAGTGGGGGGCTTAGCCCGTGGGGTTTTCCTGTCCCCTTTGCCGCACCAGCAGCCACCGATTTTCTAGCCTTCTCTTGGCAGTTTCCACTATTTTCCTCCACCCTCCGTTGGCCGTCAGCGTAGACTCTGTGCGAAAACTGGGCCCGATGCCGAGATCCAAAGCCCCTGATGCCGGGGCAGGCGAGCTTGCCCACTATCTCTCAGTTGAAGAGCGAACTAGTCTAGTTCAATGCCCGCCATCTCTTGGCCAAGCTATGAACTCGAGTTTTCTGCCTCGTGCAATGCTGATGCCACGAATGCAGCTGGGAAGTCCCTATTGGTGAGTTCCAGCGAATATGGGGGGTGCTGCAAAAATCAAAGATGGCGATCGAGAGGGGGATCAATTCGCCATGGGCATTGCAATGAATTGGAATCGGTGCGGTTTGTGACAGATAACACTGCGTGATCAACATCAGTATTTTATTAGTCGTTTTTTTGTTGTTTTTTTTAAATGCACGGATGAAAAAAATCGGCATCCGCACTGTCGAAAGGGAGATTGTTTCACCGCGGGCACTGTTTCGGTGAGATCAATCTTCCGACAGAAAGTATGATGCGATGGGCAGTCGATTTTTGTTGTACGACGCACGGGCAATCAGCACAGTTGAGGACGCTCACCGCTGACTGGTCGTGCGACGTAAGCATGAAAAATGAGCACCGCGACCACTTTGATACGCCGCTAATCGGCAATACGTCTCATAACTAGTAACCGGGGCGCCTCTGCGTTAAACGCAATTTATTTTATGTCACGATTTGCTTTATGGGGTAAGCAGTGATTGCCGCACGGACACACAGGCCGCCGGAGCGGCGACATCCTAGCTGGAACTTGCAAATAAACACTTTTTTTGTAAAAGGACAAGGGTTCCTCACATTGACTGCGGACATTGTAAGGGTTGTTAGATTTGCACGAGCATACCTTAAACCACTCAAGAAACTATGCTCATGGTATTGACTCTCCATTAACTGATTGCCCTGGGGGCACCACAGTTGCCTAGTGGAGTGCGGGCAACATTGGCAGTGCCGTTTTTCTGCTCTATTGTCCACAGACCATTCAAGTTTAAAAGTTGAAATTTTATGCGGTGGCACTGTCTACAGTGAACTATACAGGGGTTTGTTTTTAAGTGGTAGATTTATAGGGCCAGCCAACTTCAGAAGCCATATACACCAACTCATGTTTACAAACAAACCGGAGCGCCCCTAGCGGACGCCACCGGCGCCGCGTATGCGCGGTGGATGGTGGGCAAGAAGCCCGCCGTCGCCCATAAACAAACCATTGAATTGCGTTGTTGTCGGCGTCGGTGGGAGTCCCCGTGCTCTTTTTCGCGTTGGAATTGTTGATTCTACGTCCTCCTAACAATGTCTGACTACTTGTGCGGCTTCAGCAAAACTAACGAGGCAAAACTTTGCGTGAATGATGTGACGTGCGGCGATTCATTTCACGTGGACGCCGCAGAGTGGGCGCTAAAGCCTGACTCCCACGATGAGATTCTGCTCGCTATTTTTAGTCGCGACGTCGCTCGGTCTGCAAAAGCATGGACCGCAGCTGAGATGGTGGACGTCGATACTGAAAACCGCAAGTAGAATTGGGGATTACAAGTCGGTGATGGCCACTGGTAACAATGATCAACATCTTCTTGTATCTGTTTACACTTAGCCTACTTACCCCAACCAACCTTCAAAAGTGTTTTGAGGCCTGCACTTAGTTCTTTCACAACGTTTGGTTTCACGGTGTTTGGTTTACGGGCCGCTGTCGTTTGAGCGAGCTGACGACAAAAAGCAGCCAAGTTTAAAAGAGCAGACGACAGTTCGAACGGATGCGCAATGGAGTACGGGCAAGAAGCACCGCGTCCCGCGTCAACAAACCATTCGAATGTCACGTTGGCGGCGTTTGTGTGAGTCTGCATACTCTTTTTCGGGTTGGAATTGTCGATTCTGCGTCGTCATTGCAATGTCTTTCTTACCACTTTAATCGCCTGAGCGAAATTATGAATTCTCGTTACGCCGCTAAACTTTCCGTAAATAATTTGACGTGCGGCGATTCATTCGCGTGAACGCCGCAGAATGGACGCCAAAACCATGATGAGATTCTTCTAGCTATTTTCGGACGCGACGTCGCTCGTGCTGCAAAAGTGTAGAAGGTAGCGGCGATGATCGACGTCGATATTGAAAATCTGAAGCGGGAACAGACCAAGCGTAACAAGTCCAATGATCAACATCTTGTATCTACTGTTTACATCGAGCCTACTTAAGTCTTTTGAGGCCTGCAATTACTTCTTACAGCAATTACCGGGTCAACGTTTGGTCTACGGGCCGCTTTTGTTTGAACGAGCAGACGACAAAAAGCGGACAAGTTTGAAAAAGCAGACGAAAGTTCGAACGATCAGGCGGCCGTGTGAATTTGAAGACGCACTGAACCCGTGGGTGGTCCGGACAACTTTGCAGTTCTCTCGTGTTCATGTGGAACAAAGCAAATACATCTGGCGACCACAAAGTGTTTCTTGCACACGCAATCGTAGTTTGACCGCGTCTGGTTTGCCCTTTTCACGGCTACTATTCACGTTCTCGGACGAACGGAGGGGGCAGAAACACATGAAAACTGATCTTCAAACTTTTCCAGGCTCTCTTGGTACAGCCCCCGTCGCAGCATTTTGACGAGAAGGCAGGTTTTTTGTCTTGTTTCTTCCAAAAGAACTCAGGAATGCATGTCTGGCACGGCGACTTCTGCCCACCGCCCCAGACCGGAAGTGCGTCCGGCGCGCCACCACCGCGGCGTGACGTAGGAGAGTTGAGTTGGTGCATAAGCATGACACGAGTAGGTTGGTCAATCTGTAACTGCTAAACAATCTTGATAAAAATTGTAACCGGTGCCAGAGATTGAACCCCAGTCGCTGGCGTGGAAGCTGAGTGCATTGCTGACTGAGATACGGACCCAGCACGCAGGAACAGGAGCAGCAGAAGCAGGTGGTGCAAGAAAGTGGGTAGAGAGAGGAGGGGTGGAAAGGGCAAGGAAGGGAGGAGCAGAAATAGGTGGTGTAGAAAGAGCCCCCAGAACAAGGAAAAGTGGAAAGGGCAGGAAAGTGAGCTTCCCCCCTCTTGGTGACCCAGAAAATTCAGCACAAAGACTTTGTATCTGGGTGGTGCTGAAGGGATGCGTGCGCAGCGTCACAAAGAAACAATGGTGTGACTTCATCTGTTTCTATACAAAACCCTGCCTGCTATGTTGTGGGCAGTTAACATTTCATGAGGATGGGAAAGCGTTTCCTGCTATGTCGGACACAGCTTCGGATAAGTAACGCCGATTTTAAGCAAGAAGATGGTTGAAGTGGCACTACTCTGAAGCATTTGAGTGACTCTTAGCTAAGTGTTCTTGTTGCTGATTGGAATAGCCACAGTAATGGAGGTACTCTGGTCTCTGTAGGTTCGTTAGACTGGTCTCTTGGCACAGGCACAGAACGGGCAGTGCTGTCTCCTTATACCCAAGGAGAGTCGGAAAACAAGTGTAGCAACTCTACGTCGTGAAGCAATGGAGGCTGTGTGTGAAGCACTGGGTGTTTGCGGAGGAGGGGGTCAGAGCCACCGAATGTTGCCACGGTGCCGGAACATGTTAACTATAAGTGCTTAAAGACCGTTATGGAGTTCTTAAAAAAAATCCAAGTTGGGATAAAAGTATTTATTGGATCGAGTTAGATTTTCTACTAAACTTCAATGACCCATGAGAGGGTGTGCCAAAGTTAATCTGGAAGCAGATGTGATTTCCTGTTGGCAACTTTCTCTGAAATAATTGTTGAATGATCAGCTCTGACAATTGCCGAGTAGAGCTGCTCATGTTTCCTAGCCCTTTATGTGTGTTCTGCAATTATGTCGTCAAGTGGCACGGGGTGAAAAAATGCATCATTTTCCACATTGTTGCAGGTATAAAGAAGCGCTTGCAACACTAGTGGCAGAGGTTCTCAAGAAGTCTATGTTCAAGTTCAACCAGACCAACTTAGAAGAGCTGGACGACGAGACGCTAGATGACAATGTGAGAGGCCTTGTTTATTGTTTGTGATCACTAATGCCTGATGTGTGTTAAAGACCCAAGATTAAATTGCCCTCTCCCCCCTTGGGTGAAGCGAAGACATGGCTCAGCACTTTGAAGCACAATAGCTTCCTGCTGTCTGAACATCTGTTTGATCAGTTTGACTTTGTGATTGCTACTTTTGAAGCCAGAGATTTTGTAGGTTGAACTGAACTGATGATGACGATAAGCAAACAGAACAGCTTCAGTGATTATACTTGTTTAGTTTTTGGTTCCGAGGAATACCTGTTTGCCTGTGTTACGAAGGAAGTAGAACGTAAGCGTCTTTATGTTGTACAAAGTTGGGCAGCAATGAGCAGAGTTTTATCATGTGCCGTATTCCAAAGGGGAGACGAAACAATAGAATGTATGGTATTGAAGTGCACGGACCTCGCCGCCACACTCCCAGAGGGGGCGAAACACTGTCGTAGTAGGCTGGATCGTGGATCGGGAGCCCATGGATGGCAGCACCGGCGGCCATTACTTGACACCAGGCAATACACGCAAGTCTATGGGAGAAATGCACAAATTTAGGAATATCGAAGCGTGTATGTGGTGCGTGAAGGCGAGTATTTTACGATTTGTTGCGATCAACATAGCGGGTGTTTTGAGATGGAATCAGGATTTGTCAAGCGTTCGAAAGCGGATTAAAAGAAATCAAATGTGCCGGAGCGCCATTGACCGTGCCAGCGTCGCTTGCTTTAGTTGCTAAATAAATGTCACGTTCAACCAATGAACGACACTCTCCAAGTTTTAGCTTGTCACAAAAGCCCTCACTGCAGTTCAAAGCAAAAGCTTGCACCAGAAGTGCTCTGTACAAGCACTTGAAACGATGCGAATGTCCCCATTGAAGGCCTAACTTATAGTCTGCTAAGCTCCGATGACTTGGAGATGAGGAAGGACTCCACAGTGACTCTTGCAACCCTCGTCCTATTGAACCGCAGTACCCTCGACCCTCAACCACGAAACATTTATTTCAAAAATATTGGTATTTTAACGCTTTTGATATTTGCATCCAGAGTATTAACTGTCATTCCCGGAAAACAGGATAGAAGTTTCATTATAGAGAACAATCTACAATGGTAAGAAACTTAGTCTTCCCCTTTTTTCCTGATAGAGTCTCACATATTAGCTGGTGTGAAGTGATGGCCGCCAGTGGGGCCGCAGCGCTAGACGGATGAGTATGGCAGAATGGCTGATAACCAGAGGAAAACCCAGACTGCCCGACAATAGTTACACAAATTCAGAGGGGAAGAAAATTCTCTTAGAAGGGCGAATGAAGGAATCATATTTTCGGTTTTTAATTTTAACTATGTGGCACAAGCTACCGCTTGTTATAAAGGGTGCAGCCATTATCACCCATCCAGCAGTCTTGCTGTCAACACAACGAGATTAGAATTTCACACTCATTCGAGTGATGCCTGGAACGTCTATGACCAGTGAGCGTGCGCTCAAAAGTGGTCTCTCAATTTCTACTGGATGACATTGTGGAAGTGTCACGCTGTTGCTCATTGCAACCTTGGCAGTGGCACAGCGGCAGAGGTGCACGGAGTGGATGCCCGTTCTGCTGTGTATCGCTGCAGCTCAGACAGTTGACGTAAACTAAAGCAGATGCAAGATGGCATGCCGTGACGACCACCACACTTGTGTGCCCTTGTTTTTTTTTTCCTTCGTGACATCTCTCGATCCCGCTATGTAACGTGGGGCCCCCGGTCGCAGACGCGTCATGGGCGGCATAGTTGCGGCGTTTGTTCCGCTCTCGGCGTTGTTGACGTGCGTTTCATTTCAGATGCAGACAGAGTGGCAGTGCTTCCTGCAACACAACCTCGGGATCATCTCCAAGGTGGCCGACATCATCCCAGAAGACGTCTGTGCCCATGTGGTGAGTTTGGCTTGGCTGCTTTGGGGTCTGTTGTTGCTCCAGCACCAATCTAGTCGGAAAGAGTGCTTTGCTGGGGAGGGATACGGGTGTGGTGACTGGAGCCACTGAATGCCCCCCTACATTACCTGATCTCCTCAGTTCTAGAACTTCCCATAGACTGTACAACGGAGAACCCCACCACAGCTGTCTGCTAGCTGTAAGTTTTGCTCAGGAGCTACATATCTCTGTTTTGTTGACAACTCTGCGAATCTAGCGTAAATGCGTCGCACTTTGGAGTCACCTTGTTTTGCAACTTTAGCAGGTGAGGATTTTAAGTGTGTATCGATACTCAAAGCGGATACACAAAAAGCATAAAACGAGCACTATTTTTTTTAGCACTTAATAGTGCAAATGAAAACTTCGTACATTTTTATTGTTTGCCATCCGAAAGGATGAAGAAGGGTAGCCGTTGATGATGATAACGTCACCTAATGAGGAGCATGCGCCTCTTTTTGGACGGCGTGCGAAAGAGGTGTTCTCTGGAGCAGAGTTCCACAACGGATTTGATCTGACAACATTGAAGATTCCCAGAGTATACAACTTTCCGAAAAACACTCGACCCCAGGGGCAAGTAACCGAGCCGAGTCACTGAGTTTGAGGCTAGACTCACCGGCGTTCCTCCTAACCCTAACCGAGTGGACTGTGACTTCAATAGGCGCAGCCTGCGTAGGCGCAGTTTCAAACGCTGCTGGCGGCTAAATTCTCGTCTTTTCTCGTTATATTTTGTGTTTCATGGTATGTGTATTTTCCCGAGGACATTGAGAAAGCATTGTGCCACATTTAAAAAAAACAAAAAAGCAAAACAAAAAAAAGGAAACCTGTAAACTATTTTTGTTGGGTACGCACGTGACAGAATGAATGCAACTGGAATGCATAGTTCTAGTTATTTCTGTTTTTTTCTTACGATAATTTTTTATGGCGCCGCGGGATTCGCATGTGAAACGACGAAGCGCTTTCCTGACAAAAATAAATTGCAACAGAAGAGGGCCGAAAGGCATGCATTTTTCACGCTTACAAATAATGTGTTCACCGATGGACAGGACACGGACATACAATTGAGGAAGTGTTAACATTCGAACAATATATCGTACGTACCACACGATGCAGCGTTATCCGAAAATAATTTATTTGAGAAGGATCTCAAATAACACAGTCACAGTCGATGACAGTCACATCATGACGATCGGACAGAATCCGAGATGACTTCGTTTTGGGGCACGTTTTGGGGAGAGCTTCCTTTTTTCACAACCGCACCAAGGCAAAGGAACGAACGCAACTGACTCGTTTCTCACCCCAACCCGGACAGCTATTTTTGGAGATTACTGAGGATTCTACGCGGATTATCTCTGGTAGGGGAGAGAACAATGTTCGCAAAATCGCGTCGAGGGTCGTTCGACGTCCTTCACCTCCTTCGTTTCTCGTGAATGTCGAGCAGAAGAGCTTGAATAGCAGGCACTTACCAGCCTTATTTCTCACAATGGAAGATAACACGAAAAGGGTACCCAGCACACATAAAAAAATTAAGGGGAAACTTTCAAGAGGGGCAAGAATGCAAAACCGCAAAAATGTAGGTAGAGAACCGCGCTGAGCGGGTCTTCACAGTCCCAGAGAGTGGCAGAAAATTTCTAGCCGATAGAGGGCGCCAGAGTCACGCCAGCCGCATCAGCATCAGCAACATGGCGGCAGCCTAGGAGCGTTTTTTGGAAAGGTGTATACCGAACCTTCCAGGCTTAGTCTCCAGAAATGTATTGCAGCGCCCAAATCGAATTGCGCCGGGAAAATCTGGTGAAGCCTGCTCACCGGTGAGCAAATGAGTGTCAACCAAACTTCAGGCTCGATTGTCCAGTTGTGAAGCGTCAACTGTGGAATGCGTTATTCTCGAAACAGTTCAGTGGCTCTTGTCTCAAGTTTTAGGGGAATGAGGTGAGAAGTTTCTCAAGGCCCCCCTGGGTGAAAAGAAAACATGTTGTGGTACTGGCGTGATGATGGCTCTTGGAAGAACCAATGAATGTGATTTACCGTATTTTCTGGGCTATAGTCTGCGGACTATCGACGCGTGCGGACTATACAGGAATTATGTTTTTCAATATCGTTGATTATGACGGGACGGATTTTGTGAATAAAAGATTATGTTATTGATAATTTATGTATATTATAGGCTTTTTTTGTGAGCTAAGAAAACATACATATGTCAAGGTGTGCCGCGTATGAGAAGAATTTCGTGTCGACTAAGCACCAGGTGCAAAATATGCACTGGGTGCGGACTATCTAAGCAAAAACTTTCATTTTTGACCCCAAATTTGCCTCTGCGGACTATACAACGGGTGCGGACTATAGTCCGAAAAATATGGTACATTGATTGATTGGTTGGTTGGTTGGTTACCCTTTCTCCTCTTGTCTCAAGCTTTCACATTGATTGGTTTCCCTCACTCGTGTTGTCCCCGGCCTGCTTTTGCTTGAAAGGACTGACATTGATCGGTGAATTGACTGGTTGTCCCCCGCCCCCAGCTGGGCCTGTTCCAGAAGGACTTGGCGGTCTACCTGGAGCTGGAGCAGTTTGTGGGCCCCGAGGGACTGAGGGTGACGGCGGAGAACGAGTGCCGCCGCCTGCACTGCTGTCTACGCGACCTCTCCTCCCTGCTGCAGGCCGTGGGCCGGCTGGCCTCTCGACTCACACCCGAGAACTTCACCGAGCTCCTGGTGCCCACCAGGGACACCGTCACCAGGTGAGCCCCTTCTCTCGCGCCCTCCTGCATCCGCAATTTTCGGGAGCCTGTTTCACACAAAGAAACATCCCGCACGAGGTTGCGGGCACTGCGGTCCCGGTTTCTCGCATTCATGCACTGCAAATGGCACAACAACAGTGCGTGGAGTTGCAACCACTGGAATCCTGGTTTCTCGCATTCGTGTGCTGCAACCGGTGCAACAATGATGCGTGGAGTTCTGCTGCAGCCACTGCAATCCCGGTTTCCCGCATGGGCTGGTTTCTAGGGGCTGGTTCACGCATCTGTGTCTGACCTACTATCCACTTATGATGAGAGAACACACTGCTGCTATCTGGTGGGAAGTCCTGGGGCACATCCGGCCTTCTTGTATTTTTTAATTTTATACACGATAGCATTTATCCCAATGCACTTTCTTGTCCATCCTTCTGTTTGTAACCAAAGAAACTAATGCACGTGATAATGATGAGGGGACAAACTGATAAGAAATACAAAAATTCATATCATCTGCGAAGGGGAATCAAGCCCATGACCACAAGATCACAATTCCAGTCCTAAGCCATTGCTCCAGTGATGGGGACTTCTCCTTCCTTTCTTTGTATGGAATTAACAGCGCAAATACAACAAGGAAGGATAGACGAGGGAGACGGGATAGAATGCTGACTAACAACTGACGTTCAATGAAATGAACGTATTTGCACTGTTAATTCCACACAATGATTAATCAGCTAGCCCACCAGACGATTGTGATGCGCTTTCTTTTCTTTTTTATTACTTAAAAAAGCCTCTGACAAGCCAAAAAAAAACTTTTTTTTCATGCTAGGCATTTAAATGGCATGTCAGGACATTACAAAAAAATTGTTTCACTAAAGAGTTGCGTAGTTGTTTTATAAAAATAGAAATAGGGAGGCCCAATTCAAAGTTCCCGCCAGTGCACTGTGACGTAACAGTGTACCGCAAGGTGTCGGGGCGGTCAGAAGGAAGGCATCGGCGGAAGTCACGTGAGTTGTATCCCTCCTCGTGCTTATTGCGAGTGCGTGTAATATTTTTTAAGTACTTTTGTTGTTCTCCGCACCTCCACGAGCGATCCAAGCAGACAAGGTTTCCTTTATATGCTTTTCATCGCTTAATGTTGCTGTAAAAGTAGAAGAAGAGGAGTCGGTGAACTGACGTAATCAACTACAATGCCTAGAAGGTGCTGTGTTAACTACCCAAAAAAGTAAATTTTTGAACTACTTATCTGATTTAAATTATATTTACAGGGCTTGTTTCTGTTGATGTTGAGAACATTTCTGGCAATTTTCGTTAACCTGGGTGAAGTACAAAAAAAAATTGCAAACGTTCAAAGACGAAAGTGGGCGTGTCTGCTTAGGAAAAAAATTACTTATAAATTTGTTGTTTTTATTTTGTTACATTGCATTAGGACAGTTCAGAGCAGATAACTATGGAGCTATATTTCTATGTTATACCATCTTTCATGACAAAAAAGCCACATAAACACAAATACAGTTTTTTAGATTCCCATCCTTTGTCCAAACTTTTAGTTCTTGAGCATGAAAAATGACAAAAATAAAAAATACAAGCTCATAGTTATCTTCCCCTTAAAATTTCACCCCAGAAACACTCATAAAAATTAATCCAAGTTCCATAATAAGAAAACGATAGTTTTCCTAAAGTGAAATTTATGGTAAAAAGTGGAATGGAGAAAAATGTGTTCAAAGTGCTCCAACCTCTACCTTTTCTTTAGCATCGGTGGACCGAAAATAATTTATAAAAAATTAACTATGCAGTGTAAACTACTGAAACTTTCTGGGAATACTCTCTGGATGTTGGTGGATGTAAATATGACATTTCTCAAAATCAACTTTTTTTTGCAGAATTTGTTTTTTCTGGGTAGTATCCCCCCTTAAACGGGCTTTGTGTGGCTTCTTCTGCAGGCTCTGCCACACGGCCAGTTACGGGAACCGGCTCAAGTTCTACGCCTTGAAGACGGCCGCGCCCAACGTGCTCAAGTCGGACTTCATTGAGGTGTAAGTGAACTGCCTTTGTCGCTAGCAATGTCTCCCTTGAGCTAGCCCGAGTCTCCCTTGAGCTAGCCCGAGCCCGGCAGATTATAAACATGAGCCTGAAAAAGTTTGCAGGCTTTATCCTAAAACCGTGTAAACATAAAGTCAGCGAATTGGATAAAAATTTCTTTTAAACTTGGACAGAGTTTTTTTTGCACGACATAAATATACCCGACTTGGAGGATGTATTTTCGAGCATATGGGCGAAATATGCACTTCTTAAATGAGTGGGGCATTTTTTATTGATGTATTTCTTGAACAGATATTGCACTTTTCGTTGTTCAATTTGTTTCACAGAAAACTCCCTCCTACATGTTTCTGTAAAGAAACAATCACAATCACGTTAGTGCACTTTCTAAAAACATCATAAACATAAAATTATCTAGGGTGCGTTAGCTTATCTTTGGTGCCATAGTAAGGCCCCCTGCACAAAGCGCAAAGTCGAGCTCATGTTTTTTTTTTATTTTTCTTAGTTTGAAAAGTTGAGCAAAAGGCATTCATATTGTACCCTGCAACCGAAGTGCCCTGGTTTTCTTGCCCGCACTTTCCCACTATGCTGCTGGCGTTCCTACATTTTCTTTTAATCCACTTGAAAACTTTAAGGTGCATGACACCTTTTTTTTTTTTTTTGAGCGGTGCTAAGTGATTTTGCACTTGCCTGTTTGTTTTCATTGAGCCTAAAAGATTAAAGAGCCCACTTTTGTTGTCAACAATTTAGAATTTATGGCACACTAGTGCCCAGGCATGGCACGGCCCGGACCGGCCCGAAAAATTTTTTTGTTCAAGCCCGAGCCTTGCGTGAGTCCGAGAAAATGTGTGTTACCCGGCCTGAGCCCGGCCCACGAGCTGGGTCGGGCTTGTGCAGTGCTCTAAAATTTACACAATGATTTTCACTAGAATAGTGTTTGGATAAATTTGAGAGAAACTCTCTTTGGGACCAGTGTCTCGCCTCCAAACTCTACTTTCTGTGCCAGTTGTGTGGGAGCATCAACATTCGACTGCAGCTTTGGAGTGCCGATCTCAAATCGTTCCTCGACGTTAAAGAGCCGCTAACGGTCCAAGCAAGTTCGAGCACCTGCAGCCTGTTCCAACGACGACAGGGAGCAAAAGCTTGTGTCCGATCTTCAATCTCACGAGTTGTCAACTTTTGAAACTCGAGGAACCCGTAAATTGTTAAGGCTGATAGCCAAGGAATTCTCTCTGTTCTTGGTATTGATGCAATAAAGCAGTTGAGGAGCCTACTGACCTTGTACACAGTAATGTGCAGTACTAAGAAGGGTGTAGCACATAGCTTTGTATGACTTAGGGGCTCAGACCTGCAAAAAAAAGTGCTCGATTTAATCAACAGAAAGTTGGGGCAGAAACGAGCTGGTTGAGGTTAGACATGACACAACCTCGAGACTGCAGGAAGCAAAAGACGACATACACGCATACAAAGTCTTTGATGCACTTGAATATTTATTTCACTGGAAAACTGCTCGCTCTTCATTGTTTTGGTCTGTGTGGATGGGGTTAGAGGATAATTTTGTTCCTGTTCAGAGTAATTGTGTAGCTGTAGTAGTGCTGGTGTAAGAAGAGGGTGATAGTTTTTCTTCTTTCTTTTGTGATGCTCTGTTTTTTTGTGGCATTTCCTATTTACAGTAATATCCGGAGACATATCACATTTAACATCGAAAGGAATTTGTGTGAAAATAGGGAATGGGCTAACTTTCGGTGTGCAATAAAAAGAAAGCTGATAAAGTTATAGTTTTACCATTTCTGACCTGCGAAACTTGCCATTGCAGGCAGGGGCAATGAACCAAAGGCCTTGCCTTGCCAGTCAGCAATGTTCACTTATCTCCCGCCGTGGCTAAGTAGCGCCATTTCTGCCAAGGTCACTGCAGTGAAACCCATTTAGAACGAACCCACATACAGCGAATTATTGTGAGTATTGAACTAACGATAAATTTAAATAAAAGTGCATGTAAAAATGACTTTTTATAACAAACAATATATTGGCTATAATCAAACTCCCCCCACCCTTCCCGGAAGGCTTCCAAAACGTGCGAACAGTCGTCTTCTAGCCTGTCCCCCCCCAAAAAAAAAGCAGGAAAGAAAGAAAATTCTAAAAGCTAAAGTTGCGTACAAAATTGAACGAAAAGAAGCAATTCAGAAAGGGGGAAGAAATATTAAAAAAAAAAACACTTTATGCAAGCACAGAGAAAAAGAAACAACTTTTCATCCCAAAAAGGTTGACCACGAAGAGAAGCGATTCAGAAGGAGAGATAAGCTAAAGAAACAATCTCTGCATGCATGCAAAAAAAAAAAAAAAAACACTTCACAGCGCGTTGTTACAAAGCGGAAGCAAAAAGATCAGAAAGGAAGAGTATGGTAGCTCTCACCTTACAACGAACGTATCGTGGAAGTTTGTTGTAAATATTTTTTCGCTATATTGAACTACTTACTATATCGAACTGATCATAGCGTTTCCTGCTGTTTGTTTTAAACAAGTATGACTGTATTGGCCAGGTCCCTGCAGTTACTAGAAGTGGGCTATCTTTAGGTGTTTTTGAAAAAAATAGCAAATCACGCCAAATCACGTGGGGCGTCTGTCGCAGTCTCGGGGTTGTGTTATGCTTGAGCTGGAAGAACATCTTACTTAAAAGTAGGGATTTATTTATTTATTTATTTTGAGTGACCCTCAAACAGCTTGACACCTCCTTAGTGGTGCACTTACCAATGTCAGATAGTAGTCAAATTGTTCGGACACGATGAAAAAATGGAAAGGTAGGATGAAACAATGGCAGCAACACACTTTCTAAATTTATGCTCTTCATCAAAAATATCTAGACTAACATTCCGACAACTCTGTTCTAAATTCTCACTATGTGTCAATTGAAGGCATGTCATGTGTGCTGAGTGATATAAATCGGAAGGAGAAAACAGAGTACTAGACCTGCCACGAACACGCAAGTAGACGTGACTTAGTAGTACTGGTGAATCAGTTGTATAATTTACAATCTTATACAGAAACATCATCCACAGATCGTCCTCCTGTTGTGCAATGTGTCCAATTTCATGAGGTCACAAATCCTTTCGCAACTGTCGAAATAATTCGGTTGAAAATAATGATCAAACTATACATAAATGAATTTATATTGAACACATTCAGTTACACTTGAGTTAGTCACTCCAATACAGTTTCATATAGTTCAGGCATGTTCGACTCGATTACACACCATTGAAGAAAACAAGCATAAAAAAACTAATTGGTTTAGAAAAACCGTGTGTTATTTGCACAATGGCTCCAGTACTCTAAAGGAACCATTTGTAATTGTAGTTACGTAATGATCGAAATTAATCGCAGTATTTTTAAAAACTCCCAGATTACGGATAACCTCAACACGGATAATATCGGTGGAGTCTAAGGTATATGGAAAATTCAGAATATCCTGATTTCTAGAAAAAAAACAAGACATAACTTTTGTTTTTAAGAATAGACCATTTGAAAGATACCATGTTGAAATAGAATCTATATCACGCTGAAGAAAATCACGATCTTCAACGACTTTAACCATCATAAACAAATTCATATCATCAGCGAATACCACTGTGTGTGCTTAATACAACAAGCGAGATCACTCACAAAAATTAAAAACAGTAAAGAACCGAGGATGCTGCCTTGGGGAACACCAGAAGTAGATAGAAAAGGAGCAGATAATCGGCCAGATACTTGCACAAAGTTACTCAAGATAGATAGTAGCTATCGAACAGACGACAGTACTTAGTAGACAGGCAGACTAGAGAGTTTACTCAACAGTAGTCATTGATTTACTTTACCGAAAACATGGGTCATATCAAAGTACACTACATCCGCTTGTCCTGCGCTGTGTGCAGATACTTGACTTGGGAAGGAACATAGGGTTGTTTCTGCAGAGCGGCCTTTCATGGAACCATGTTGTTCGGGAATAATCTTCTGACAGAAATTTGGATAGAGGCGGGTGTGCAGAACAATTTCATACACCTTTGACAAGCTACGGGGGAGTATGACAGGCTGATGGTTGTTAACCATGGATGTTAGAGAAAATTTAAGAGTACAGCAGGGGGATACACTGGGGGACACCTGGGTTCCTAGAACCCAATTCCTTAGCTCTGTCTCTCTCCCACACCCGTGGTTCTCCCCGTGCAGCCAGGCCCAGTCGCTGGCGGCACTGCAGGCATTCTGCCACTGGCTGCACCAGCTGCACTCGGACTGCCTGCAGAGGACACAGAATGCGGAGCAGTTCAGGGTGCTGGTCGAGGCCTACATCGAGGTGGCCCTGCCCAACATCGTCGGCCAGGTAACTACAAAGGCAAATAAAGAAATGCTCGAAGCATTTGAAGTACACCTGTGTTAGCCAGCCGTTCGTGACGAGAGCTTTTAGCGGGCAGCTTTGCCGCGGCGGGTCGCAACGTTGCACGTAACACGGTACACAAACGTACGGTATATTAAAATATTTCTTTCTGATAGAGCAGTAATAAAACCTGCAAACACACCAATGAGCATAGTGTTACCACAGGCTACCGTGAGCACAGCGAGGTTCCTGGCGCGCGCTGAAAATTGTGCGTCAAAGGTGCAGCGCGAACTTCCTGTTGCTATGCTGCTCCTTACGGTAGCCTGCGGTCGCGCTATCTTAAAAGTTCCTATAAATAACCGCAGTACAGTTTATAAATAACCATAGCACAGTTTGATCACGTGTTGCAATACAGTATAGACCACTTACAACGTAACCGCTTGTAGTGCTAGACCGGGTATAACGCGGCTTTTTTAAACCACCAGTTCGCCTCCCATAGAACTTCATGTAATTACATACCGCTTAAAATGCAGGCACGCGAAGGGAAATACCGGTTATAGTGCGGTTCTTGGCACAGCCCGCCGACCGCGCCGACGACCGGAGCAGCGAGCACGCTTCCCTGTGCGACACTAGATAACGGCGCTGACGGCGCGAGCCTCGCGGGGCAAGGAGGTTGCTCGAAGACGCGGGGAGAAGCGAAGAGAGAGGCTTCAGTTGCCATAGCGACGGAGGGACGCACGCACGTGTTGTTCACGTGCGTGCGTCCCTCCGCTGCGTTGGAAACAAACAACCGCAACGACAGACCAATCGCAAATCGAGGAGAAGTGTTCGCGCGCATTGCATGCCGGTCGCGGGCCGGCAGCTTCTATCTGCAAACATGGTGTCGGTTGTGATCGTCGTCGTAGACGGCGTTCATCTCATCGTTCCGCGTAAAAGCGCTATCCTTGACTGTGAATTTTCGTTGTGTGTTGCTGTGATCATAGAGTTATTACAGTCGAACCTCGATATAACGAACTTCAATGTAACGAAATCCTCGATTTAACGAAGTATTTTATTTTTCATAATTTCTTGCCCATAGACCCCATGTATTTTTAGTCCCTATATAACAAAGTCTATTTTGCTGCTATTTCAATATAACGAAGCGCCATTGCCATAGAAGGCAATAAATAAATCAACTCTAAAAAACAACTTCGCAAAAAAATTGTGGTTAAAAAAAAAAATTATGCGCAAACGCGAGCACTTGATAGGTTACTTCACGGGGACAGGCCTTCCAACGTTCCTAGGCTGCCCGAGGATGCGGCGCCGGTAGCGCCGGCGAGGCATGCGGCAAAGCGGATTCCGCGAGGCTGGCCAGAAAATGCCGAGCAAAAAGTTAACACGGCATAACAGCATCACCACTGACATTCACTGATCATCATGGTCCACTGTACCGCGGGTAGCGCGGGAGCCAACTTCAGCGGGGGAGCGACGTGATGGCGCGACCGCGCGATCCGCGCGATACCGCGCGACCGCACGGGCAGTGCCATCTAGGAGAAGACCGAAAAGACCGATTATCGTCTTGCGGGTCTTGCGAGCGTGATGTAAAGCAAAGGCGCAAGCACACTGTGGGCGCAAGGGGGCAAGTAAACTGTGCGGTCAAGAGTGCTGTGTAGGTTGGAAACATTGGCACCGCCTAAACTAAACAGCTTTATTTTTTAACCGGGCGGTTCACTTACGTGCTTGCTGCCATAAGGAAACGTAAAGTTCTTTCTTTGGATGAGAAAGCAAACGTTTTGGACGCCATCCTGAAGAAACTGCCGAGATCACGAGCACTCGGGAAGTGCTCGACGCAATGGACGTACTGAGGAGGTACACGGCGTCGCATGGGCAGCAAGATGCCGTGCAAGCGCTCTGGGCGCTCGAACGCCGTATGACGCCGCCGACGCCGCTGCTACTGTCGGACAAGGCGCAAGCAAAACTCGCGGACTACTTTGCCCCTAAATAAATGTCATTTTCGGTGAGTTTTCATACCCGTAAAATGTTTCAGAATTTTTTTTTTTTCGCATGCTAAAGCCAAATTTTGATTTAGCGAAATTTCAATGTAACGAAGTAAATTGCGAATTTTACCGACTTCGTTACATCGAGGTTCAACTGTATAATGTACGCTAGAGGTTCAAGTGGCGCTAGTGTGCTGACGCAAATTGAAGCAGACAGCAACCAGTTGAAAATTGACTTCCGGTAATGCATTTCTATGGAAAAAAGCGAGTGCATTTTCTCCCTGCGCTCGATCATAAGAGCATATATTCCAAATAATTCGTACGTACTAGGTAGCTTGGAACATTTCTCAGTCAGACCTACAAAAAAATTGGTCAGTTACGGCGTTTTTTTTTTCGAATTCATCACATTAAAAACGGTGCTAAAACGGCTACGTAAGTGTATTTATGTGCACTGTCGGACACTGTTAGCGCAAACACGGCGTCGGCGATTTCCAGCATGGGTGATATACGTGCCAAACGAACGAAGGACATCTGGAAAATCAAGAGTGGCGGCAGGAACTACGCAGTAACACTGGATCAGTAACTCGCAGTGCATGTACGATCAAAATAAATCGAAGGCCACGTAATCTATTCCGATTTTAAATAAGTAAGTACTGCTTATTCTTTCTGCCCTAGCTGAGCGAAGCTGCTTGTTCTATGCTCAAAATATCACCCCGGGCGCTCGATATCTTTGAGAACAAGTGCCCGATAAAAGCTGCCCGGCAAAGAAAACAATACGAAGAGACACTTTTAATAGCCCACGGACTTTATTCTCTACGTTTTAAAGGTTTTTATCCGCTCATGCACGACGGGAGCATTTTCATATGGTGACAGGACTGGCATATTATGTATAGACAAGCGTCACCGGAAGGCTGGCGAGCCTTGAACACAGTCTATAATTGTTTCGATTGTAATTTTGCTTTGAATCGTCGCTTGCTTTTACACACCCGCTGCGGACACACGTTTGGGACTGAAATGTAGCGAAGTTAAACATCGCTCACTAACGAAGAAAAATGCGCTAACTAAAGTAATTACACTTTTACAATGTTAATCAAGGTACATACTATTCGGTACGACCCAAATAACCAAAATGTTCCGTGTTATTTTCCGGCGAAGAGAGAAACTGCACGCGCATTTTCCCATAGGAATGCACGGGAGCACTGCAAAAGACTGGTTGCTGTCTGCTTCAATTTGCGTCACGGAAGTCGCGTAGACACTAGCGCCAGTTGAACCTCTAGCATACATTATAATAACTCTATGGCTGTGATAACCCAGCACGTACTAGAAGGGAAGATCCACCTGCTCGTGCGGCGATGTTGTGGCGGCGCTGTCAAGACGGCAGAAACGCCCGTGTCGTCGTGTTTGTTTACTTCGACTACAGTGGTGATTTCTAAGCATTTGTGTCCTCGAACATCGCCCGGATTTTTTATTTGGCGCATTTTATGCATGTGCTCAAGTTCAAGGTATTACTGGCGCGTACCGTATGAAGGATGTGAATTTTCACGCGTTTTCATCTCCGGAGAAAAGTGATTAGGGTTAGCAATCCTGAACGCTCGCAACGTCCGTCCGCAACCCGCGACGCCAATAAAAGGCTGCGCCAGGCAAAAGCCGCTCATTTCTTTCAAAATGTGTGACACACTTGAGAGAAAAGTGCACTAGTCTTGTGAAATAAAGGCTTTCCTGAAACTAAGCTTTATTTTTAATCTAACATAAAATAAATTCTTTTACAAGGGTAAGTTGTCTGATGGCATGTATTTTGGCCTGAAAAATTGATGTTTTGGTTATAGCGCGGTACCGCTTATAGTGCGGATTTTCGCGACTCCAGTGACATGCGTTATATGCGTTCTACACTGTATACTAAAACCGAGACGGTGAGCAGCGAGATGTGAGCCTGTGACACGAAGACACCAATACTGTGAATGCTCTTCTTCCGGAGATTGACAGTGTGCGGCTCACGTTTTAGAGCACTCATGACCAGGTAAAGCACAAACACCACAATATCTTCATTACCCTCAAATATATTTTGGCACAAACAGTGACGCGGCCGAGAACGCGCTCGCCCTCCACAAACTTTGCAAGTTGAGGCTTCCGCAGCTTTTTAATATCAATGTGCTCCTTTTCCTAACGCACATGAGCATCTCCGTTACCTGAAATGTGCTGCTGCCCTGACCGCTTGGCATTTGTAGACAAATAAATTATTTTTAGCGCACGGACCAATGTCAGCAAGAAGGCCTCTACAGTCAGACCTCATTATATCAAACACGGATATATAGAATTATTGCTTATATCGAATCGTTTTTGAACTGTCATAAGAATTACATGCATTTTAGATTTTTTATAGCAAACTCGGTTGGTTAAAGAATTAATATATCGAACTCCGCAGCGTTGGAAAGCGTGTGCTCTCCGGAGACAGGCGGCAGGCTTCCCCACAACACATCAGAGGCTACGGCGGGCTTTCCCGCAACACATCAGAGGATAGCGGTGGCGCAGCAGGCGTTTGTGACCTTTACGAGCGCATGTCTGCGTAAAGCTTTATGCCTATAGTGCCGGGAGCGCCATCCAGACTTGGCGGCATACGGGCAATACGGGCTCAGTCAGCTCAGACGTTGCGTCAACCACGGTGGCGTCAACTGCGTGTGGCGTACTGATGGCAGCAAACGTAAAGAAACGTACGCCGCTGACGTTTGCAACGAAGCTTGAAATCATCTGCCGCGTTGAAAAGGGAGAAATGAAGTCGAGCGTTGCCAAAGCGTACAACATACCGCGAAGAACTTTGAGCATGCTGCTGAAGACGAAATGTGACATCAAATCAAAGGCTGAACGAAGCATGCACTCCGCCGTACCCCGTATTCGGCCACCGGCCTCCAAAAAGGTGGAAATATCACTTCACAAGTGGTTTATGGACGGAAGGGCTCGGAACATTCCGGTGTCGGGGCCGATGCTTCAACAGAAAGCAAAGGACTTCGCGTTCATCCACCAAGCACAAAACTTCGCCGACTTTGGGCGAAGCTGTGGCTGCCCAAAGTGCAACGAAGTTGATGGTAGTGGTATCTCTTAACGCTTCACGTGAGTAGTCATTTTTGCCGCTAGGTTTTTAGTGATTAAATCGAGCTGCACTTTGATGCGTTTTTGGTGTGGTTTTCTATATAGAATTTTGGTTATATCGAATTATTTCACAATCCTCGCACTGTTCTATATAGCAAGGTTCGACTGTATGCGAGGCATCAAGAACCAGTGCTGACTAGATCCGACCGCCAACCACGCCATTCGTAGCGGAGCTTCAAATGGCGATGAAGTGGAAAGCCCTCTCTCTGGAGACAAAAATGAAGGTTTTCAGGCTTCAGCTTGAACCAAGCATGATATCTACCATCCTGAGTGCAAGGAAGAAGATTGAAGACTGCTATACAAGCAACACCGTCAAGATTGACCGAAAGTGTCTTAGGCCTTGCCTTGACCCGGACGTGGAAGAGGCTCTGCTCTCATGGATAAAGGACCTAAGGGCGCGAAATCTGCCAGTGTCTGGTCAGCTTCTTCAAACGAAAGCACTCAGTCTGGCGTGTCTGTTAGGGCATGATGATTTCATCACGAGCAGCGGGGGTAGCTCCAGCGTGGTGGCTCCAGGTAAAGAAACACCAGCCCAAAATCACGTTTTCAAATAAATGAAATAATGGATCCAGCTAACGTCGTTTCTCATGTTGCAAATTGATGTCCTCATGTTCCGATCTATTTTTTGAATGCTGCTTAGTGACAGGTAAGGATCTTAGGGTCCGCGATAGCTCGTTTTTATATCTTAGTGCTGTGCACAATCTTGCACGGACTTGATAGCAGAAACATTCGCGTTAATTTTTGTGTGTACTTTTACAACGAATATTGCATATAGCGAACAAACGTCTGCCCGCGATGCTAGTTCGTTATAACGAGTTCCGAATGGGTATTAGGAAACTGGACGAAATTGCTCCAAACTTACGTGCTCCAAGAATGTTCCAAAGTATGAATTTTCTTATGCAAATGTGCTTTAAAGCAATATTTTTTTCTGCTCCAAAAATTGCTCCAAACTCGAAAACTGGCTGGACCATCCCTGTCCTTAGGTTAGTCCTCCCCCCTTAGCACTTTCCAGCACTACAGTAGTTCTGATGATTGGCCTTCAATGTTGAGAGGAAAACGGAAGAAAACCACCGATGACTTCTTTGCTCTAACAGTGTCGCAGAGTGTACTATCGCGGACCACGTGAGCTGAAACGGTCCTTCGTACTTCTTTGGCATGCCTTCCAGTTCTTGAGAGAGCCGTGGTCCAAACTAGGAATGGAATGCGAAGCTGAGCTGTCGTACTTCGGACTATTTGAGAAAGCGAGAGATGATAAAGCTTATGGGGACCACAGACGTAGCAAAAAGTCGGATTGGGCGTTTCATCTCGTATCGTCCGGGAGGTATCCATTCTTCCCACGGAGCTGGTCACGTGACCTGAGAATCCCTGTTACGCCGGGCGGGATGGGCAAACGGGCTGCCCCTTGGAGACCCAACACCTGCATCTAATCCTTTGCCACCCATTTCTCCGCAACGGGAGCAGTCCCCGGAGAAGGTGACGCACAGCGCGGCCCACCTGCTGCTGTCGCTGACGACGGTGCGACCGTCGTTCCTGCTGGCCCTGCCAGCGATGCAGCAGCTGTTCGGTGCCGTCTGCGAGCGGAAGCTGAGACCCCTGCCACCCGAGGTGCGTCCACTTCGGCGCCATTTTGATCCAAGCAGTGCGTTTGTACGTAGGGACATCGGTCTGGGAGGTTCTGGAACGTCCTCTTACTCGTTCAGACGCTTACAACCGAGTGCATTACAATTTCTCGCGATATCTTACGACGAGAAAACGCACTGGCACCATCCATGGTGTTGCCCTGGAACTGCATTTCACTAGAGCAAAGGTTTTGCAGTATTGGCGAGGTCAAATGTATGTGCTATTCATGAGAGATGGTCGTTTATGGCATTCTCAAAAGTTCTTCGAGCCAACAGTGAAATAATGATGCACGAAAAAGAAAAGGAAATACGGGGAAATGATGAGTGTTCCATAGCTACCCCATAATGTGTTCTTTTGCCACATTTATGTGAACCAGCCCCTCTACTGAGAAGTCAGGAGTGAGAGACAGTCACTCGCTTGGTGTGAAAATGTTACTCCTCTTGCGCTCGCTACCCCGTGCTCTGAGAACTATGATAGAGTTTTGTCACTTGAGCGCTTGGGGGATGTGGCCCGTGAAGGTAAACTTTTGAACCCTTCATTCAAATTGATCCAAATCTTCGGGGTGAATAGAATCCTATTAGTTATTCCATTAGGAAGTAACTTCATTAGTCACTTCCTAATGACTACTAATAGGAATAGATTCCTATTAGTAACTTCATTAGGAAGTGACTTCATTAAGAAATGTATTAGACAAAAATATTAATTGCAATCCACAAAATTATTGTACTAATGTGAAATAGAATACCCATAGTACCAGTTAAGGTAAAAGTTAATTGTAGAAAATGCAATATAGAGAAAAACAATAACACCCAAAAAGAGCAAAACCTTTTTGCAAAGTTTTTGTGTTTTAAAATGTTTAGTTTTCATCACGAAGGAGTGAGCTTTTTCAGATTATGGATAGCTTAACTAGTTCACCGTGAAATTTCTGTCCAGAACAACACTGGAGGAAGTCTTTGCACTTTCAAATTGTCTAATGATACATTTCCTCGTACCACATTTTCTGTCAAAAAGGGAAACTGAGGAAAAATTATTTGAAGTTTCAATTTTAGGTTTCTGTATTTTTTATGGATTCCAGGCACACAAAATTCATCCAGAGCATAGGTAGCACCTTCCTCTTTGAGACCTCATTCTCCTGGTGATAGCTGCCAGCTCATATCATTTGTGTGTGAGCTAACTTTGGTAGCCGTCACTTCTCGACGGATAAACTGCCGAGCACCAAGGGCTAATGGTACTAAAAAGCAGCAAAATAGCAATATCATCTGAAATGGAAGACATACTATAAAAAGGGCGCTGCTGATGGTAGCACAATATTGTAGCCGAGCAGGACCAATATTAGGCCCCGTTTCGGGCCGAGGCCACTCGTTGGTGACGTCGGGCCGAGATAGAGGAAGAGCGCAAGCGTTGTTTGGCTGCTGCTCTAGAGGCAAGGCGACAAAGCGTGCAGCGGAAAGTGAAGAGGAAAGGCATTTAATAGGTGGTAGAAAAGCGGTGATACACGAATGGCAAGAGGTCCGAAACGAATGGAAAGAGGCAAAGAGGGGGGGATAATGAACCAATGCTAACGCATTTCCATCAAATAAATCCCATTGATTGTCGAACAATTTTTATGTGTTTAAGTGTTTTTTTCGAGGTTGGGGAATCCCGCGTCTTATTTCCTTCAACATAAGCTCCGATAAACGCCGAATTTTTTCTCGACACCGAAAAACACCGAATCCATGGGGAAAAAATAAAACCCCAAGACGCACACACCCCATTTCGAAGAAAACTAAATCCTGCAATACGGAACCCTACTCGTAACATTGTTTGAATTATTTCGAGTTCACGGTAGAAACATTGAGGGTAAAAAATTATAAAAATTTATACACAGGTTGGAAGTGTTCCAGAGTTATCCGATAGGTGGTGCCAGTGTGCAGGTGTGTTTTGTCGTAGTAAGTTGTTACGAGTGATTGCAATGCACTTCAGCACACTCAAACGGAAATGGTGCAAATCAGCCTCAATACGTGCAACTGGCTCTTGTTGCGCAGTCTGAGCTCTTGGTGCTACGTTCCCTGCACAACTCCCTGTGCTTACCGTGGCCCGGTGTTGCCGACACGGGCCAGGGCTGGGAGGTGCGTGCTGGCCACCAGCGGCGGTTGGTCGCGGCGCTGACTTCTGTGTTGGTGCAAGCAGCCTGCTCCCGAGAGTTCAGTGCAAGCACGCAGCTTCAGCAACAAGGTGAGCTTGCCGCCGCTCGTTTATTTTTAGCAGTGACCCGGAATATGTTGTGCGCTGCTGGCACCCAGCTTACGTGATGACGTGGCGAAAACAACCGGTGGGAGAGTAGCCTGAATATATTTACAGTATTAAAAAGCTTGATCTTCACTGTGTAATGTGATATTTTTATTGCATAAGGTTAAGGAAACGTTGGCTAGCTGGTGCTAAGCGCTACCACATTCAGGTTTCTCAGTCTCATTTATCTGTTGAGAGTGACTTCCTGATCATTATGTTTGTCAAAAGCAAGCCATTACAACATCACTGCTCAAACCTTCGGGGAAATTTTTTATCCCAATTGGGTACCTCGCAAATACACCGTTGAACTCCCTGACTTTCCCCTGTTATTTTGCATATAACCGATTCTTCGTCAGCGTTGGGTGTTGGTCTTAGTTCCGAACAAAGGCCGCCACGTGTGCAGCTCGGGTATGAACTCGTGCTCCTTTACGTTGTCAGCTACTCCGGTCAGTGTAGGCGATCTAAATGCAAAAGGACCCGAGCGAGCTAGGAAATGTCCCCTCTGGGTGTAAAAAAACTTCGGGCGATGGTTTGTTGGTGTGAATTCTGGTGATCTTTCGAGCCACACGAATTCGTCCTATTGGCTTAATGCTCTGCGACAAGGCTGGGGAATCAGTTGTCTGAAATTTGAAATATGTTTTTTTTATTTAGCTTGAAAGCTCTGAAAGTTTAGTCAAAGCGACTGACTGGAACTCTTGCCCGTAGAAAAACAGCAGACATTTCTCAAAAAAGAACAGGATGCGCGTGTCACATGATATGTGGGAAAAACAGAAACGAGGTTCCACCCGACATTTCGCAGTCCGGTTGCCCAATCCCAACTTCGTTGCTTTTGCTGATCAAATGGGACATTTGTTTCGTGTGTTACCAGTACTGCAGTGCATGGAACAGATCTTAGACCACTGTGTTTATCATCCCATCCCGCCTATTCCGTGGCTCAGTGGTAACGTCTCCGCTTTGCACGGAGTGGACCCCTGTTAGGTCACCGCGTGTGGCGGGCAGTCTTTCTTAAAGATTTGGCAATATCGATGACGGACGCCCTACGTTGCCAACTACGACATCAACAACGACAACTGCTACATCATCTAATACTACTACTACTACTACAACAACATCAACAACAGACGTCATCTCTTGTGGCGGGAAGATCCCATAACAGCCATCATTGTAAAATAATCCTCAAGAGGCAATAACTTGCATCACAGGAACCAGCGTGTCATGCTGTCAGGGGCAGATCTAGAACTCTCTTTTTTGGGGGTGTGCGATACTTCAGAAAATTTGTAAGGGCTACTAGTTGCACATTCTTTCTCGTGCACAGGTGCATGCTATAAAGCAAGCCGGGGCAGTGTGGGTATCGTGTGAAAATTTTCTTATAACCGAAATCACTTAAAAAACAACCACCTACTATTGGATATTAAAAAAAAAAAATGGTAGAAACCGTGCAGTGGGTTTTCTCCGACTTAAATTATAACGTATGTCGCGGGAGTCGCGAAAATCCGCACTATAAGCGGTACCGCACTATAACCAAAACATCAATTTTTCAGGCCAAAATACATGCCATCAGACAACTTACCTTTGTAAAAGAATTTATTTCTAAGTTAGATGAAATAATAAAGCTTAGTTTGAGGAAAGTCTTTATTTCACCAGACTAGTGCACTTTTCTCTCTCAAGTGTGTCACACGTTTTGAAACAAATGAGCGGCTTTTGCCTGACGCAGCCTCTTAGCAGCGTCGCGGGTTGCGGACGGACGTTGCGAGCGTTCAGGATTGCTAACCCTAATCACTTTTCTCCGGAGATGAAAACGCGTGAAAATTCGCATTCCTCATACGGTGCGCGCCAGTAATACCTTGCACTTGAGCACACGCATGAAATGCGCCAAATAAGAAATCCGGGCGATGTTCGAGGACACAAATGCTTAGAAAGCACCACTGTAGTCGAAGTAAACAAACACGACGACACGGGCGTTTCTGCCGACTTGAGAGCGCCGCCACGACATCGCCGCTCGAGTAGGTGGATCTTTTCTAATACGTGCCGGGTTATCATAGCGACACACGACGAAAATTCACAGTCAAGGATAGCGCTTTTATGCGGAACGATGAGATGAACGCCGTCTACGACGACGATCACAACGTTGATCACAACCGACGCCTTGTTCGCGGATAGAAGCAGCCGGCCCGCGACGGGCATGCAACGCGCGCGAACACTTCTCCTGTCGTTGCGGTTGTTGGTTTCCAACGCAGTGGAGGGACGCACGCACGCGAACGACACGTGCGTGCGTCCCTCCGTCGCTAGGGCAACTGAAGCCGCACCCTCCTTGCCCCGCGAGTGCCGCTTGCGCAACGCTTGCGGCTCGCGCCGTCAGCGCCGTTTTCTAGTGTCGCACAGGCAAGCGTGCTCGCTGCTCCGGTCGTCGGCGCGGTCGGCGGGCTGTGCCAGAAACCGCACTATAACCGGTATTTCCCGTCGCGCGCCTGCGTTTTAAACGGTATGTAATTACATGGAGTTCTATGGGAGGCGAACCGGTGGTTCAAAAAAACCGCGTTATACCCGGTCCTGCACTATAAGCGGTTACGTTGTAAGTGGTCTATACTGTACAAGAAAGCAATTGCGGTGTTTGCAGTGATGCTTCATAACTGCCTAAGGCTCCATCTCCATCCCCTTTGGTTTTTGTTCCCCTTGTGTTTACTCCTTTTCTCAGTGGTATGAAAAAAAAAAAAAAGAATCTGTCTGTGTTCTGCTTTTTGGAGCGTAGCGGGAGAGCAAACTCAATATCTTTCGTTGACAGTGCCCTTCTGTGTCTTGGTGTTATTGCTTACAGTGATAGCTGTTACGCATGGGCTCTTGTTACCGCCAGAAATGGTGTCCGTTGTTGTAGTTGATGCTGTTGAAATTGTAGTTGGCGATGTAGGGCGTCCGTCATCAATGTTGCAAAATCCTCAAAAAAGATTGCCCGCCGCCCGCGGGAATCGAAGCTGGGTTCGCCCCTGCGAAGCAGAGGCTTTACCTCTGAGCTATACGACACCCCATGAACAACCCACTCTATAAACTTAGGGTTTTTGTAGTACCCAAAGCATGCCTTCTCTGGAAAAAATTAGGCGATAACAAATTGCCATTGCAGCACTGTCAGTGCCAAGAGCTCGTGCCAGGAGACGTGCATTCACGCGCTTTGGAACACAAAAGAAACAAAAGCATTCGGAACAAAATGGCCAGATGTTTCATTTCTTCCAAACGCTTCTGTTCATACACCCCACGGTGCGTGACCGCGACGTATCACAGGGGACTGTACTGGAAATAACACAGGACTGCTCAATTCTTTTCGCTATTGGCTCGAAAACTTTTGACAATGTTATAAACAACCATTTCTCATAAATAGTTTGTACATTTGATTTTGTAAATAGTGCCAAACCTTCGCTCTAGCGAAATGCAGTTTTAGGGCCACATCATAGAGCCAAGGTTTCACTGTATTTGCAAAATCAAATATATTTATTTTTATCTTTTTTTTTTTTTTATTCTTTATTTATTTTAACGTCCTGCCAACCATAAGGCCAAGGCTGCTGGTCATCCCCTCCCCACCTTTGGATCTGTACCCGCATGCCGTCTGACATCGCAATCCTGGCAGTTGGTCGTAGCAATGCTGGTGAAAAAGGCAGGGGGCGCCATTGTTGCGGTGTCCCATCTCGCATCTCCTTTGGTTTTCGTGGACTGTCTGGCCGCAGACTGACCTACGGCAGAAAAGGCATCTGCTGTTTTGCTGCTCTGCCACCGCCAGGATTGCTGCATGCAGTAGCAGGACATTACTACGACGTAATCAATTGCCAGGGTCGTGGCAGGCAACAAAATTACACATTTATGACGTCTCAAGGCGGTGATCAAGGGATTCCTTTTAGGGTTGCGGTAATCACGCCAGTCGGAGACGTGCTGCGGGCGCCACGGTGGTACCGGCGCTCTTTGCTAATCCGGGCCTCGATTCCCCCGTTTCTCGTCCGCAGCCAAGCCGTCTGTGAAATGGGCGGTGCGTGTGATGCGCGAGCTCGTGGAGGGGCTGGAAGGGGAAGGCACGCGAGCCAAGCAGCTCTGCCACGGCGGCCTCGGGGATGCCTGCAATGCGGTGGTGGCCCTCTTTCCGGTCTACCTCAACGACAGAGGTAACCCTCGGCTCTCTCGTCCCTCGATGGTCGGGCGCTAGGGCAACACCTCCTAGATGACAAAAGCGTAGTGCCGATAGAGACATCGTCATCGTCGAAGGCCCACACTGGTCACAGATTGGACACTACGATTGCTTTGACGTTCAGCTCAAGCTTGACTCGCAGCCAAGCGCCGACATAGCACTCGTTTCCAATCTGTGTCCAGCGTCGGCCTTTGCCGGTGACGCAAAAATGTCAGCACTATGGCCTTGTCTCTTAGGCAGTGTTGGCCAGAGCCACCGAACGAGCTACACTACTGGTTTTTGAACGGGTTCGTACCCAGGTAGCACTCCGGAAAGACGCCCAACTTGGCACAAGCTTTGCAATCGTAGGGGCCTAGCTTGGGCCGGTTCTGCTCCAGAGCATTAGTGACAAAGTACGGAGCATTAGTGACTTTTACTCAACGTTTCTATGGCTTTTCTCCGGCTTGCCACATAGAGATCCAGACTTGAGCCAAGGATGTCACGTATGAGCCGGATAACCAGCAGCTAAGCCTAAATGTTGCACTTGTGTGAAAGTTTAGGCCGAAAGTTGCCGCATGAAAAATAAACGACCAGTAGTGAAGCCTAACTTCGGCACTTCTTTGGGGGATTAGGGTCAAGATACCCAGACTTTGGCCAGAGAAGCTTAAATTTGTCTGCTTTGGGCTTTGGAGGTCCTAAATTCTCGAACGAAAACAAAATTGTGGCCCAGTAATTTGTGCTTCCTGGAAAGGAACCCAGGGGCTCCCAGCAGAGTGCCCTCGGGGGTTTCCCGAGCTCCTAAATCTATTTGGGGATCTTTGTTCCCAAGTAAGGGGTTCTCCCAGTTTAGGCACTGTTTTTTTGCAGAGCTGAGCCAGCAATTGACGCACTACTATTTACCAAATACAGTAAAACCTCGTTATAACAAAACGGGTTATAACAAACTAATGGATATAACAAAGCAATCATAATTCCCCTTGCTTGCTAATAGTGGGAAGAAATGGACATTGGCTATAACAAACTAATGGTTATAACGAAATAATTACGACCGCTCCTTCAACTTCGTTATAACGAGGTTTTACTGTACTTCCTGCACATGCAGTATTCTTTACGAGGTCTGCAGGCTTCTGCACTGCTTTACCGGATCAATGCTGAGACCGATTCCTCGTCTGCCATTCGAGCCAGATAGGAGTTCCCTGAGATGAAAAGGTTTAAGAACCCCTGAGTTACAGTTCGAAGTAACCACACTTCAGCCATCAGATGGATGGATGCTAGCGGCTGTACCCTTTGTACTGGGAGGTAGCTTGCGCCACCTAGCCTAGCACCCTGCCGCTTAAAATCGTTGTTGCCAGTCACATGATTTCAGTCGTGGAGAAATGTTGAAGCAGTCTACGAGCGAGCAGAACAATGTCATTGAAGCTTCTCGACATCATTTTCAACGAGTCAGAAAGCCCCATTTACGAATCGTTATTTGAACTCGCCTGCCACCTCCGAAATGTTTGAAAACTGAGTTAAGGACATAACAAGCAGACTTGCGAGCCCACCTAGCCAATCGAGGTGCTCTTTCTCGTCGGTCATTTCTGAAACACAGTACAGCATGGTGAAGTTCATCCCAAGATTTTGCAAATGTTTCGATTTTGAATTTTTATCGGAAGCCTCGGGATAAATGCAGTAGAGCAGTTACGAGGCCTGCAGACCCTGTGAGCAAAAAGGCACATATTAGGGAGTGTTTGCTTCTTAGTTATGCATCAATGGGTGGCCCAGATGTGCTAAAATGCTGCTCAAAAAGGAAAGAACAGCGGAGAAATTTCCCGAGGTGCCCACAATATGACGGAGGCTTATTGCAGAAAAGGCAGCGTGGTAACCCAGATTTCGGTTGCACGTCAAGAGATCCCCAAGTGGTCGAGATGAATCCTCAGTCCTCCGCTGGGGCGTGCCAGATGCCAGTCGTTGATTTGGCATATAACCCCCCCCCCCCCTTCAAAAAAAGAAAAGGGGGGGGGGGGGGAAGGAATTTTGAAGCTTGGAGAATCTGGGAACCCGTGAGGGTACTTTGGAGGACCCCTTGGTTCTTAGGAGCCCAGTTTGAGATTCGGTGTTTCAGCCTAACACGTGCCCCATCTGATGTTTTCCTCTTGGACCTGCCTCAGTTTTTCAGGATCATCTCCAAATTTTTAGTATGAACTTGCTCGGTTCATTATTAGTGACACTGTTACAGGTACGAGTTATTTTTACTGAGCAATTATTATGCGTTGCTGTTACAAGTTACCGAAAAAAGTTGCTAGTTTCCAGTAGCACAATCTTACTAGTATAGTCTAAGCTCGTTATAACAGACCTTGATTTTGACCAATAGTTTTGTCTGTTGTAAGAGGAGTATGTTATATCCAGATATGAAGTTGAGTCAATGGTATGTAGAGGAAAACCAACTGAACTTCACACATCGGTACTTTATATCCAAATGTCTGTTGTAACCAGGTCTGTTGTAATGAGCTTAGACTGTAACTGACTTCGGCCCAGGACTGGATGATCCTGCACTGTAGGAATCTGCTTCGCAGGAAAGCGCCATGAGCCAGCCAACCATTCTATGTGAAATAAAAGAAGGATTATCTCTTGACCAGGCATGAGGTAGCAAAAAGCTCCCCAGCCCATAGCCACTTTTGATCCACTGACCTGTCTCACGAGGGCCCACGGGTTTTCCTAAGGATATGGTCGCAGGCAAGGAGAAAAGGGTCACTCACTTCCCCGCTGCCAGTTTCTATTCCTTGGTTCCCTTGAGCCCTCCCAGTGTTTGGAGGCACAGTAAAATGGGGAACACTCAACCGGTTGCCCGATGATTGGCTGTAGAATACTTGCTGCACTGGGTTTCCCTCACGGTGTAAGATACTCTTTAAGTCAGGACATGCAGCATGGCGAACTCTGCTGCACGATCGACCAGATAGAGTCCTATTGCCGCGCGTCTGAGCACTTACTGCCGACAGCGTCTTTTCGGGTCGGACGGCACAACCGTGAGCATGGCACACAGGCGCGCATGCTTTCTGCTTAGCGCGTCTGCTCCAAAGCCGACGGACACTCGCTTGAACGCCGCACTGGAGATCTCTTTATGTCAACACGTTCATAAAACTATTCTTGTCTGCCGTTGAGGCCTGAAACTAGGATCAATGACAAAGATTTGTCTAAGCAATACGCGTAGCACAAAACGTCAAGTTCTACATGACGCAGCGTGCCCAGAAAATGACTTCAAAAACAAGCACATCTAATTGAAAAGCATGGAAAACCAGGCCCACGACAGGTTACCACTGGTCGCTTATCAAAGAGCTATCTGGTGGTGTCACTTGCGACCGAGGCGAAGAGTGGACTTTATCTGGCAGCTGAGATGCGTGCGGTGTCTACACCCGTATGTATCTTGCATCGTGGTCGCCCTCGTGTTTCAGAGGTGACAGAGGCCATCCTGGACCTGCTGCTGGTGCTCTTCAGGGTCCTCCAGGCCCAGCTGGGGGCTGCCTTTGCTGAGCAGATGCTGCAGACGTTCCTCAGCCTCTTCACCAGGTAGAGAAACGACCGCTCTGCTGCGCTGGATTGGACTCTAGTTGAACTGGAAGGAACCATACAAATCCGGTCTATTAGTTGAACTGGAAGGAACTGGACAAACCTGGTCTATTTGGCACAGCTCCCACTTAGCAGGAGCTTCATCCAAATAGATCTGGCAATAGGTAAAAAAAAAAGGCTCGATAACAGAAAGTATAAAACAGAGAGAGGACGAAACACAGACGAGTACATTCTTTCTTGAAAGAATGTACTCGTCTGTGTTTCGTCCTCTCTCTGTTTTATACTTTCTGTTATCTAGTACATCGTACCAACACGCTCGTTAGGAATATAAAAAAGGCTCGATTGCTGTTTTTGTTTTTTCTGTGGTTGCCCTAATTTCTGTTTAGTGCAAGATCTTGTGGACGCCCACTCCAAATGAGAAAAATGGCGAAAAACATGGGGTGGGCTATCTTTAAAAATGCAACAGCAAAACTTTATTAAACAAAAAAGATAAAACAGTGGGCCATCCACTGCAAACCTTGGTGAAACGGGAACTGATATTGTCGATCGCAGACACGGCAAATTTGCGTTTCAGTGACGTAATAAATACGTGGGAATTCGCTACAAGCTCCTGTGTCACAGTAAAAGACATTGCAGATTGCAGACGCAGCAGATTCGCTTTACACGGTGCGGAGGAAACAGGGGAACCTGCCGCGAACTCGCATGTCATGGGAACCGATACCGCAAATCGCTGACGCAACAGATCTGCGTTTCACGGTGCAGTAAACATGCGGGGACAACTCCTATGTCATGGAAACCGATATTGCTTGCAGATATCGTGGACAGAAAACACTGGAGCCTGCTACAAACTCCCTGCTAAATTTAGCGGGGAGTTTGTAGGTATTGAGGCCATGCGATGTATATTTTCCCACTAAATGTAGGGGTGATATTTAACTCGCTAAATTTAGTAGGGAAATTTTTGCTAAATTTAGCGGGACATTTAGCGAAAATTTCCTGCTCAATGGGAGGCGAGGAGCAGAAGAGGAGGGGAGGATAAGGAGGGGGAGGAGAGGCATACCCTCACCTCCTCCTCCTCAAAAGCTGCGCTCCAATTTCGCATTACAGAGAATTGTCAACGTCTCATTTTTTTTTTCTCCTTTTTTTTTGTGGATTCTTTCAGTCTTTTTTGTTTTCTTGTTCTTGCTTTTTGGTTTTGCTGTCTCATCTTTAAAGTGTTTCTTGTTGATAATTTTGTTAGGGTCCTTTGACCCTGACAAAATTATGAAAGTCAAGTCTATTGGGGAGATTGCTGAAAGTGTTCCATTCCCACCATATGCAATCCGTGCAATGAAAATTCAGTACCTTCCTATCTCAAAACGCCGCTTATTTCGAATTTTGTTTTAGTTTTTATGTCTGGGTTATTGAGGGTTTGCTGTAGTCCTAGCTCTGCAACAGTTTACCAGTGTTTTTTCGATTGTTTCCCCAGTGTATATCACTGATTTTTATCAATTGCGATAAAATTCAGGGCGCAGAGTTGTGAGCCCCCTCAGGGAGCTGTTGAGTGTCGGCAACTATTACAGCAGCACATCTTCATATTGTTAGGACAGAAGCATCAGTAAACATGCATACAATATCGGGGTTTGGATTGGTCGGGGAATTTCTTTCCACTCTCTGCAACTTAGAGAAATGAGGCCTAGATAAAGAACTGTAGAAAAAAAAATATTTGGCCCAGCCGCATTTGAAAATATTTAATAAATTCCTTCCACGGCACTTTATCCAAATCAAACCTTGGCAGCTATTTGAATAATGGGAATATTTTGTACGAATGACCTCAAACAGGCTGTGTTTTGCAGTTAAAAACTCTTTTGTCAGGGAGCAGCTGCAGAACTGCATCCTGAACGAAGGCAGCGTTGGCATCAGGGTGGTCGAAAAGTGAGTAATGCCATTGCTGATCTGTTTGCTCACGCATTCCAAACTACCAAGGGTTTTGGAGAAAAGAGAACAGTGTTTTTAAAAGTGAACCGTGCATCGCTGAGCACTCATTCTCTACCCAAATATTTATCGACACAGTATTTGAAAAACTGTGTCGAATATTTATCAACACAGTATTCTGGGGAAGATTATTCCAGTCGCGTATAGTTCTGGAAAAAGGAAATAGCTGTATTTGCCGATATGATATTTGGGGAGTGTAAATTGGTGCTTATGATTAAAGAGAAGCTGAAGCGGTTTTGTATTTGAGGAAACGCACATAAATCATCTTCATTTGACGTGCAGGATCTCAAACATTGATATTATTCTCTAATTTGGTGGCTGGAGGCTACAGAAAATCCTTTTCAGAAGAACCGCCGAATGCCCTCCTTCATGGAGCGTGACGTCACAAAAGGAGTTTTTGGAATCTCCACTCTCGCGCATCTTTGGCGCCAATCAAAGCTATGTATGCGCCCTCTCGCTATTTTTGAAAAGGGCAGAAAGAGACATCTCGACTGGTAACAGTGCGGGGAAATATACCTGGCAAGCTTGCAATTGCATGCACGGCCTTCGATCGATTTGCAATGGGCAGCCGAAAAACCCTTGTATGACGTCACGACTGGTCAGAGGTTTTTCGTGTTTATTCGCGTTTAGTTACATCTTAGGGGAAAATGGGCGTAATATTCAAATTCGCAGGATAAAACTACGCTAGAATCAACCTCCATCTCGCCTTCCCTTTAAGTCTTAGTTCTTGACACGAGGACTTAGCCTATAGTGGGACCAACATATGAGGCTTTTGCAACCTCAATACAGGTGTTCAAATATTACTTGTGTTATATGAAATCTCACTTTGGCATTGTCCAGTTGCTACTCGTAATGTTGGAGGGTTTTAGAAACTTCCACAGCGTTCGACTTCACTATAACATCTCAACTTCTCGAGCGCAACTCGAAATGTAAAATATGTTCTGCCAAAACTCGTCACCTTCCACTTGCGAAGCACTGCAGGGAAGCTGTAGTACTTGCCTCGGTTCTCTGCATGCGTCCCCTTCTCTGCTCATCGGTGAACGTAAACGTTTGCCCCTCCGTTCACCACTCAGCAACACCGGGAAAAACTGCCCCTTTGCTGTGTTGGCGAAGGTTTTCTCGTCAGTGTGTGAAGTAAGAACAATTGCTCGCATTGCGTGAACATGCTACAGCTATCGCTTTCACTTCTTCACACATTATGGGCGAAAAAGGCACCATTTTTTGGTTACGCTTACAGATGGACTCCTAATTTTCAATAACAGTTCCGAAAAAAGATTTAAACGTACCTATGTTTGCATAAATACGGTAGTTCTTGACAGGCGCGAGAGTCCACGTGAAATGGAATGCCATGCGAGAGTTGCCACAACTGACGTTTTCCGGGGTCATCCAGTTTTTTGTCGTAGTCCCCAGAAAAATGCATCAACGAAATTATATTGTAGTCAAACCCGTTTATAAAGAACTGTCTCTGTGGCGCATATTAGTTTGGTATATTAAATCGTTTTTTATATTTAAACTCGCATACAGTCAAGCCCGCTTATATCGAACAGCAGAAAGATTGTATTCCTCAGTCCCGGGTTGCTTCAAAATGATGGTAAAATAGTTCGATATAGCAAAAATTCTATATGCAAATGAAGCAAAAAAAAAAAAAAAATGTGTGTAAGAGCAATGCAGCTGACAGTCACGAGATAACTCACAGCTCTTACCTGTCTGCACTTCACCATTGATTGGAACACTCTCTTAAAAAAAAAAAAATCATTTATTGGAGCGAGAAGAATGCTTAAGAGGAGTTCTTTTAACTCGTCGTCTACCTGGTAACGACCTGTCCCCCGGTATCCAAAAGGTGGACGAGCGCAAGTCCCCCACCCTCAGTGGCACTGCAGTAGTGGCGTAGCGGGTGCACGGTAGTGACGGCTTCGCTCGAGCTTGGAAACGGTACGGATTCCTCGGCGTCTGCGGGACCGGGCTCGCCACTTGCTACAGGTTGCTCCCGAAGAACCTCGGCGGCAATCTCGATGTTGGTCAGCTCTGTCATGATTCCCGCGACATCGTCGTTGTCACCATCTCTTTCTTCACACTGGCAGCCATCACAATCGGGAAGAAAACAAGCGAAACTTAGGCACCATGGTGAAACTACACGAACACAACGGAGCGACAGAGTCGACCGGGTCACTGAGTGCGGGCAACGGGAGGCGCGGACCTGGGGATTGGCAACACCGCAGAACACCACGTGGCGCTCCCGGTGCCAACGATGTGGTGCGCACGGTGCTGGTCGAGCCTCCTAGAGTCGCAAGCGCCTGCTGCGCCACTGACGTGCACCGATGTATTGCAGGGAAGCCTGCCGTGTGATTCCGTAGCTTGCACAATCCGGCACAAGAGAGTTCGATGTAGCCATTATGAGCCCGATCACGTTTGATATAAAAAGCTTAAAAAGGGTGAAATTTTTATCAGAATTCTGCGAGGGTTCGATATACCTGCATTCAATATAATCGGGTTCGACTGTATAGCAAATTTGAATGCCAGGAGTTTGAAATGCAACGTATTGACATCAAATGTGGGGAAGACATTTGTGGGTAGGTTCTCCGGTGGACCGTGAGAAAAATGTTCAGTTCATGAAAACCTAACGGATAATGCACTAGGCGGGCTAATAGGTGAAACAGTAAGCAATTTTAGTTCAACTGCTTCTTCTGCTGTGACGTTCACTGGATTGGAGCATCCGAACTTGCTCAACTTGGACTACACCTATAATTCTGGTGCAGGCATTTGAGCCACTGGAAGAGTGTGGATACTGATGTATCATATATTTTAACTGACAAAACTTGCCTTACTATGGGAAGGTCCTGCTCTATTTGGCCGTTCCACTTTTCGAAGAAGAAAAAAGAACTTAAAAGCAGCTGCGCATTTGCAGATGAGCGTGTTTAAGGGAAGTGAGCGAAAGTTGTGAGTTGCACCGCCGTCGGTGTTTGTGCAGACTGTGAGCGCTAAACTGGTGACTTGTGCGACGGTGCGCTTCAGATTCCTCAGCCTGCTGCAGCAGATAGTGAAGGAGCCCAGCGCAGCGTTCAAGGTCTTCGTACCTCGCATCATTGACCTCTGCATGAGCGAGATCTACCCCATCGTGGCCGAGGTAAGTCTTTGCAAATTTGTGAAGAATGAAGCTGGGAGACACTCACCTGCAGCATTTGGAAAATGTTAGCAGTTGTTTTCAGTGCCACCCCTCAAAAATGACTTGCCACTCACGGCGCTCGGACACCAGATTATGGCGTCGAGACACCGCCCTGAAAAAGTTTAGCTGCAATATTGTGCTTTTGTTCAGAAAAACTCACGAAGTGAAACTGAAGCTAGATGACCAGCACCTGAGACTGTAGGTTGGGGTGTACGAGATTCATGAAAAGTCGCAACAAGCAACTACTCTCTCCACTTTTTCATCCGTCAACTTGGTCTTGGCGTTGCAGTGGTCATTAAACATGCTTAATGGATGTTTCTACTTTTAATTATACAGGGTGTCCCTAAAAACATTTTACATGGTTTTTTTCACCGCAAAAATAAACTGCATTGCTGAATGCTCATTCTCCACTCAAAGGTAACGCCATAGGTCCGAAGCAGATGCCAAAGTTTGAGCATGAACAAATTATCTTATTCAAAAGTTATAAATGATTTTCTGAAAATTTCAATAGGAAAATTGGGATCATTTTTACTTGTTTTTGGTGTCTGGCGCCCTAGAGCTCCAAGTATTTGAGAGCTTCGTCGACTGCCATTTTCCCATTGAAATTTTCAGAAAATCGCATAACTTTTGAATAAGATATCGGCTCATGCTAAAACTTTTGCATGTGGCTCGGACCTTTAGAACTTCCTTTGGACGGAGAATGAGCATTCTGCAATGCATGGTTTATTTTTGCGGTTAAAAAAAAGACCTGTGAATGTTTTTTTGGGGACTCCCTGTCGCTGACCTGGAACTCGAAAAATATTTTGAGTTGTGCTTTGTCACCGCCTGTAACAACGACAACAATGAGAGCAGCCTTGATCACCTGATTCTCGTCTGGCAGTTTTTGTGCAGCAATTAAGTGCATATTTTAAGCCTTCAATTTTTAGGTGCGAAGCTCCTTAGGGTCTAGCCTTGTCCGTCCAGCGTCCGTGCTCACATCGATCTTGCTGTTGCTCATGCGTGTGATCGTGAGCTCACGTGCTCACATGCTCTTGTAGGGAAAAAAAAAAAAAAAAAGATGAAAAAAAAATGTTTGCACAGTCGACAGGATTCGAACCTGTGCAGGGAGACCCCAATGGATTTCTTGTCCATCACCTTAACCACTCGGCCACGACTGCGGGACGAGTAGGGGGCTCTGAGATGTGGTAGTAACTCAAGAGCTGGGGATGTCATGGATGAAACGTTGCATGTAGCCGCTCAACGTCTATACAGGAGAGGGCGCTGCAGTCAAATGCGTACATAATCGCGTTAAACTTTGCATGCATTGGCTCAACATTTATAGACGAGAGGGTGCTGCGGTCAAATGCTCAAATGCGTATATAACCACGTTCCATACCACACATTCTCTTTTTGACACTGATGAAAATGAACGAAAGGCTCGGCATGCTACGGCTCACCGTCTACGCAGACAAGCACCACCAGAGCTTCGCCCCAATTAACATCATTCACCACGTGGAGATGCGGTTGTTTTTTTATCTGGGTAGTTGGGCCCTCATAAAGTAAAAAAAAAAAAGAAATGAAATATTCTGCAGGCACTAAGTGTTGCTTTGAAGGTGCGCTAAATTGATGTGGGCCTGTCCTGGCTACCAGAGCCTCCTGCAGCAGCACGTCTCACAACACATGCGGACTTTCCTCGACTGGACCACTCTGGGCAACGACGGCCGGGCCTGCGACACACTGCTTTCCCTGTGGAGGTTTGCGTGTGCCGCGGGCATCGACCGTCGTATGTGATCTCCCCCTCCCTCCCCGCTCCCTCTTTAGGCCTAAGAGCCAGCCCTTTCTAAATAAAGTAATTTCATTCATTCATTTCTGACTAGGTATGTCTTTTTGTGGCTCTAATAGGATCTGCATACTTCATGAAGTCTATAAATATGTTCAAATCGTGGGCCTAAGTGACCCGCCTCTATTTAAATGCGCAATGGAAGTGATACCTGTCCCTTCTTTGTGCCACAAAAGGGAAGAGCTTGGCTTTATTTTCCTCGCCACCAATAAGTGAAAGAAAGTGAGGTTGTGGTGATGAGTTTTATGTTAAGGCAGGACCTATTTGTTTATAGTATTTTGAAAGTGCCAAGTAGGCAGATCATATTGGCACCATAAAAAGAGAACCACTTTAGCACGTTGTTAGTCCTTTACCCGGGGTCTTTACGTACCCCTCTAATTTGACCTTGAAATGGGGTGTGCATCGCTTGTATCTGTCGAAAGCAACAACAAAATTGGTTTAGTTTGCACTGGCGAGGTGGAAGCAGTCATAAATTGTTTTGGCAGGAAATGTCCATCACACATGCTTGAAAGTTTCACGAAGCTTTGACAGTCACAAATATGGCGGAAGTGCCTCAGGAAAGTGCCAGCAACTCGGAGAATGGATGTGTGGTAAAGGCAATGACAATTCATTGCTTGAGGATGGTGAGGATGGAGGAGTCTCGGAGGATCTGCCATCGTGGTGCTCGCGGGCACTTGATACATTACGCTGCAAGAAAACAAAAGTGGGAACATGTACAGCTTGCAATGTTAAGTCTCGGGACATGTAAATAATACAAAAGTTTGAATGTTTTGACGCCCAAACAATTATCCAGGTTTTCAGCCCCAACACTTCCCAAAGCATGGTTGTATGCCAGGAAATAAATCAAAACTTAAGGCAAGGCACGTAAGGCCCTTAAGGGGGAACACTGGTCTTGGAGCTTTTTTTTCTTATTTTATGACCAAACTTAATGAAACTGCACAAGCTTGTTCATCGTTTTGTGCTGATTTCATATATCTGGTCATTTTCTCAGTCGGTAGCATTGTCCTCAAAATAATTAAAATTTGCCTGCCTTTGTTTGGAAAAACGATAGAAAAAAAAACTGCTCAACAAAATATTCTTTTTAACACATGGCTAGATGTTACGAAGTGTATAGAATACAATGTTGGAAGCACTTTTAAGATAAACTAATTATTAGTGATTTTACCACACATTGAAGTTCAGTGCTCAATGCATATCTAACAAGTAATATAGCAAAATAAAAATAGAAATTTTTCTAGAGTTATATTAGAAAATCTGCTCTCAACATTGTATGCTTCACACATTCAGCTACACATTTCAGGAATGGTTATATTTCTATCTGCTCTAGATGCTGAGATATCCCTCTTGTAAATTTTCAACGAGTCCAAAAATTATGTTTTGTGAAAACAATGTTTTAGAGTCAACTTCAATGCACATGGAGCCCACATAGATAATATAAATTGATTTATATTTCAAATATTCATTCACGAAATTATAGGACTGGTAGATTCAGAAGAACAACAGCCATTGCCATTTTCAAAAGAACGCAGTTTTAGGAAGTTTTTGGCTCCGAAGACCCATGTCCCCCCTTAATACATTTTAAGGATTGGTGTTATTTCAGTGAAATTAACAGTGTGTGTTAAGCATGCCGACGTGGGAGGCTACATAAACCTCCAACTAAAAATGCCTATTTTCAGTCAAATTACAGCCTCATTTGTCGGAACAATGGCACAAGCAGTGTAGTGTAATATAAAAACCTCATTACAAACTATCAATGAAATGGCACAACTTTTGTTTGGATGTAACGTTACTAGTTGGTAGTAGGCTTCAAAAAAAAAAAAAAATCGATTTTTTTTCATGAGATTACATTTTTTTTTTGTTGAACAAAGAACAGTTTTAAAAAAGAGTGCACAGCTAAGTTCTGCAGTAGATTTTGCTTCAGAAACAATGTGCAGCAGGTACAAGCTTGACTCTTCAAACAATAGTTTTAGAGTAATGAAAAAAAAAAAAAACGGTCAAGCATTGAAGCTGAGAAAAGTGGATCTGAAGATGTGGTGCTTCACTTTAGAGAACAATGCCACTTAACATAAATAGAGCACGGAGCAAGGCACAGAATGACCACTGCATGGTCATTCTGTGCCTTGGCCACCCATTTCTCTTATTAGTTACCCTGGGAGACTCTTTCGCTTGGGCCTCTGAAGTCTCTATCTTAGTGAAAATTTTAAAGATTTCAAGGACATCGTATGAATATCGGCACACTTCAGAGACGTGTGGAAGTCAAACCTCAGCTCTAGACATAGGTTGGAAGTTCATAAACGTGGCAACCGGCGAGATATTGAGTTGGAAGTGTATCCTGTGAAACCGCCTTTCAAATGGGGATTCGTGGACCCTTTGGGGTCCCTGAAGGCCTCCTTTGGGCCTTCAAAGCCCTCGACCGTCAGTTCAGCTGATCACTAAAACTTCCTTTTATTGATGCTGACTGCCCCGTAAAGCTAAATAGACCAAACCATGTGCACTGAAGGGAACAGGGGTGATTACTCTCGGTATCAAATTTTCAAAGTTGGTTTGTGTGCATTCAGTTTTCTTCACTTCCCTTTTGTCGGATTGGTGTCGGGTGAAAGCACCCTGTACACCGCCTGCTACTGGTAGATAGGGTCCCTTATCGCTTTCATCGCTCTAGAAAGAATCCCAAAACATCAGTGGCTGATGTTTTGGGACCAGCCCGGTCGAGTCTCATCGAGAGTGAGCAGTGTCCTGGTCCTTGCAGCGGCCCAGCCCGGAGGTGAGCCAGGCGCTGTTTGAGCTGCTACAGGAGGCGCTGGTGCACAACTGGCGCCACTTCTTCCCCGGGGGCGTCATGGCCGCCCTGGAGGGGCGCCAGGAGGAGGTGCGCCACCAGGACCAGTTTGGGCGGGTCATGCAGGCCTACGGACAGTCCTTCCTCCAGCCGGACATTAACCTCTTCCGCCAGAACCTCGAGGGCCTGGAGGCTCTCAACCGCAAGTGGAGGCTCTACCACAAGGTTGGTGTGCAGGGGGTTCGCAAACCGGCTTGCCCGAGCTCCCAAACTTCCTCGACCGTCCCCGCCCCCCCAAGCAAAGCACACTTCCAGTTTAAGGTTTAGCGGGTCTGAGCCACTCATTAGTGCTTACCTATGGGCCATACACTCCCTGTTGTCTGCATTCTCGCTTACAATATTATAAGATCCTGCACTCCTTTACTGCATCGATACTGAGACCGCAAAGGATTCCCGGTGATGTGATTGCTGCGCCAACGGGCTTACCTCGCCGCGCCCCACTATATCGTACGAAAATGTGTAGAATTTGCGCCAACACCGAAACTTAATTTTGCTTTGATAATTCCGAAAATATAATAGCCGGAGCCTCGCTTCTCTTCCGGATCATTGCAGTAGGCTTAGAGGGGACCTTCAATGACCTTTGAACTGGTTTAAAATTTGCGCTGAAACGGACCTTGGCGAATGTAGGAACACGAAGGAAAAATGCTTTTCTGAAAACTCGAATTATTTTGGGAGTTTGGGAGTTATAAGCAAATCAAAATTACAAAAAGAACCGAAACATTTTTGCTCCCTGACACTTTCGGAAAAATTCAGGGATTGGAGGGTTGGAACAAAGCGGCCGGCCAATTGGCTGCGGATTAGGCTCATGGCTGCTGCGCCTCGTCGACCTGATCTCTAAACCCTCGTGTATCTTCATAAGTTCAGGCTTCAAACGCGACGGGCATTACCGATAGACCCGTGCTGTTTACAGTTCAGCAACGGCAAACCCAACGCGTCCTGGTGTAGAACGACGTTCGTCGTCCACTTTTTCGCGCCCCATCATAGAATCCAGCACGATGGAATCAAAGCAGTGATTTGGAGCAGGTGGTGGTGAATATGTTTATTTAAAGGGAAAAAAAAAAATCTCCGGAGACTCAAAGGTTTCATGACGCGGTGGCCTTAAGGCTTGGCATCGTCTCCTAGGTTAAAGGTGTTAGATGGAGTTTCCCGGGTCTCCCTCAGAAATATACTCTAAGAGAGATCTGAGGATCCTGGTCTTGCGTGAGGTGTGTCGCCCGCTGGGTGCGTCCAGTCCTGCAGTTTTAAAGGTCTTTCATCATTCGCCATCTTACTGAAGATGAGTGTTCTGAGGGTGGAGAGGGCCTCACATTCCCAGAGTAGGTGTTTAAGTCTGGGAAGGGATTCCTCGGCTTGACATCGCTGGCATCTGGGGTTGGGAGGGACAGCGTAGGGTTGTTGTTTCTTAAGTCTTGCCAGGTCCATTTGGTATCTGAACCTAGGTGTGACCGCTCCTCCTGTCCGTATGCGGCGGAGCATCACTGATTCTTTTCTCTTGAATTCTTCCCTAGGAAGAGGATGTTGTTCTGGGGTCCATGATCTTGCCAGAAGATGTTTTCGTGTCTTCTGGGCTAACCTGAGTTCCTCCCTTGGATCGTATGGGGGAAGCTCAGTGTCCTTTTGCTGTGGTGTTGAGCCTGCCGTGGAGGACTGAGACAACAGGGATGGTTGCGTGAGATTCCTCATCGCCTGCTGTGTAGCCTCATGGTCTAGCTCGTTGCCCGAAATGCCTTCGTGCCCGGGAGTCCATCTGACATTAATTTGAATTCTCTTGGATCTGTATAGCAAGATGGCGAAGGCGAAGATAGCATCAATGGTGGGGCTTGAAGAGGACCTGTATTTCTTGAGTTCTCTGATGGTGTCTTGCGAGTCGGTATAGACGATTAGCTGTTGTTCGTCTTGTGGATGGGGTATTGCCCGTCGGATGGCTTGCAACACTGCCTCCCGTTCGGCGAAGCCCGGCGTGTGGTGGCCTTGAGGGTTACTTTGGATCTCTGTCCAGGTCGCATTCCCTTGGATGTATGTGGCTGCTGTTGCCCAACCCATAGAGGAGATGCTGGCGTCCACATAGGCGATCATGTTTTTTTCGTCCTCAACAAGCTTAGCCAGCTCCTTCTTGTGCATGCGAGCGTAGTGTTCTCGTCTTTTCTTGTGCCGCGCAGCGTCCATGTTTCTTGGGAGAGGTTTGCACCCGTGAGTTACGTCAATGAGTTCCTATGGTGCTTTGCTCGGTGATATGGGGGCGTCTTCTTGTATCTCGATTGCCATGTACTTAGCAATTTTTCTTCCCTCGGTTGTATGCTGTAGACGCGAGAGTTGAGCTTCCTTCTGTTAGTTCATGAGGTCTGTGAGTTCTGGGAGGAAGATGCACTTGCTTACTTCCTCTGCTGAAGTGTGGCGTGGGAGCCCAAGGATGGTTCTTCTTGCTCCGTTGAGCATGCTTTTAAATCTGGAAAGATGGGTTTTCGTGAGCCGGTAGAATCTTGCCGCATAGGCTATTTTGGATACTAGCACTGCAGTCATGAGTTTCTTGGCTGTTTTTTCCCCAGCTCCTCCCATTTTCGTGGATATTCTTCAGACGAGGTTAATACCTTGTTTCCATTTCTTGGAGATCTCGGCCAGCCAAGCTTTGCTTATTCTTCGCTTGTACCCAAAGTTAATTCCAAGGATTTTAACGGAGTCTGCTTTTTGAACTGGGTCTCCCGCAAAGGTAAGACCTAGGTTTTTGTTGTCTTGATCGCGGCTGTAGATGGTATATTTAGTTTTTTCTGGAGATGGGAACATTCCCACATCAGAGAGATATTCTTCAATGGTGTCGAGTCCCTTCTGCAAAGCGACAAATTGGGTTTCGGGAGGCCCTTGATACGTCCAGATCGTGATATCATCTGTGTAAATCGTCGTCCTGAGGTTGGGTATTTTATAAAGTTTCCAGAGGAGTGGTGCCATGACGATGTTGAATAGTGTAGGTGACAGCACAGTGCCCTGAGGGACTCCAATGTTGTTTTCTTGAAGGGTTCCTTCTCCACATTCTTTGTCATATCCGGCTCGGATTTTGTAGACCCATCCCGAGAGAAATGATTTTACGAAGTCTAATTGTTTACCCGTGAGGCCTTGCTGCTCCATCTTGCCAATGACTGATTCATGGGGGACAGAATTGAATGCCCTCTTTATATCGATAGACACAATCACTCGCATTTGTTTTTTTCCTGGGTGCATGTCCACGATGTCTGTGTATATCATGTGCAGGCTGTCATGTGTGCACAAGTTCGATCTAAATCCTGTTTGCGTTGGATGAAAGATGCCGAGGGTTTCAGCGTTGTGCTGAATCCTTGCGACTACCATTCTTTCCATAAGTTTTCCCATGTTTGAGGTCAAGGAAATATGTCGGACGTTTTTGGGGTCAGTTGCTGGCTTCCCTGGTTTAGGTATTGGTGTGACCAGGGACACCATCCATTTTTCGGGAATTTGCCCGCTTTCCCAGATTTCGTTAAACCATTTGAGGATAACAAGACGGGTGGCCAGGGGTGCGTTCCTGAGCATGGGCACTGTAATTCCGTCTTCTCCAGGTGCACTCTTGCTTCTGCACTGTTGTATCGCCGCTCCGAGTTCCCACTCTGTGAAGGGGAAGTCCTCCGGCTTGTCTGCAGGTCCCAATGGGTTGGGTTGTAAATGATTGTCTCCGGTTTCGTTGGGGGTTGTGGAAAGATGTCTCCCAATTTGTTGAGAATTTCTTCCGTTTTTTTTATTGGAGAGGAGTGCTATGACCGAGACAGGGCTGACTCCTTTCTCTTTTCCTGACATGGAGTTGAATGTCTTCCACACGTCTCTAAGGTTGGTTTTTCGTCGAAGGACTCGCAATACCCTAGCCATCTGTCGATGGATAATTCGTTTGCGTATTTGCTTGCTTCTTCCGTTAATCGGTTGACCTTGTCTAGGTGTTATTTCTGTTTCCTTTGTCGGTATTTTTTTAAGGCTCTGGTCCTTTTGTCCCATAACGCGAGGAGATGATAGTCTGGTTCTGGCGTTTCTTCAGAGACTTGCCTTACCTCTGTGGCAATCTTTGTAGCTGTTGCGAGTAGTGCGGTGATTTGACATGGTTCCAAGGCATCTCCTTGTTCTTTGAGGTTTTGCCTATATTTGTCTCAGATTATTGTTCTCGTTAACCTTTTTTGCTTGAGATTATTGCCTCTAATGGCGACGTCCATAATGATGGGAAAGTGATTGTTGCTCCAAGCGTCCTGCGTCATATCCCAGCTTATCTTGCGAGCTGTTGTCGGTGTGGCCAGGGTGACGTCGATTATGGTGTCCAACTGACAGCTAGTTAGAGAGTGTCTCGTTGGTCTAGTAACATCGTTGATGAGTTCGAGACCTCCGGCTTCTATTGCTTCCATAAGTTCTTTGGTCCTGCGGTTCTGCCGTAGATTAGCCCAGTCCTCGATTCTGGCATTGAGATCCTCTCCCATGATGATGTGATCATCTGGATATTGATCTTTGAGATAATTAAGCCATGAGTGATCATATGGTTTCAAGGGACAGGCGTATGGAGATGCAATCGTTAGTCTTCTTTGAGTGGTCTGGAGTGTGATTCGTACTGCTACCACCTCTTGGTAGTCAGTGCACCAGTTGTCTGTATTTATGACAATGAAGGGTTAACTTTTGACTGATAAACACGTTAACCTGAGCCTTCACCACCTCTTCCCCATCATTGTTACGTCGCCCCGCAGGAACGGCACGTTTTATTGCTGGGTCCGCTATCTTGTGGTAGCCAGAGAGGTCAATTTCATCAGTGCGTGTTTCTTGTAAGAGTAATATGTCAAACTTCTATTTCCTTCTTGAGAGGCTTTCCTTCTTGAGAGGCTGCGACAGTTCCATTGTAGAACTCTCGGATGTGCTTCTTCTGTTCTCTTGGTGGGCATGTTGGGGTAGTGTCGTATTCATCCCTAGCTTGTGCATTACGAATTGTTAAAACTGCTGTGTTTCTTGCATCTGGTGTTGCATCAGCTGTATCTGTCGGAGGACGGTTTTCCAATCGCTTGGGCTTGCGTTTTGTGTAGGGGTAAGTTGAGGTTGGGGTTCATCTTCTGTTGTTGGTGTGCTGCAGACAATCTCCTGCCTGGAGGTGTCACGTTCTTGTTCTTTTTTTTCGCGGGCTGCCTTGCGCGCTTCCA